CTGCCGCAGCGCTCCTGCCCCGCCCGGGCCGGCAGTCAACCGTCGGCAGCCCGCCAGCTGTGGTGATTCCAAGTGGAAGACAAATAAACCATTAGAACCACAGGGGTACGAACATTTCATTAGCACTACGTTAGAAAATTTTCCCGATATTTTTCTCTAATGCGAATTTTAAAAAAATCAAGAAACAAACAAGGTAGTGTAGAAACGCTCGCCTTTTGTCCAAGAGCACTTGTTCTAAGATTCAGAAGCCTTGCCATCTGTACTATAGAATGTTGCCGAAATGAAACTATCTGCATGGGTTTGTAAACTTTTTGTACAGTGGCGACATTGAACAGAGCTTTTTATATGACAGGACACTGTAATCATTGCTATATTTAGGAATCAGCTTCTATTGTCAGAAATTTTCCCCTTGTACGTTGCCATGGTTACCAAAACAAAAAAGTGTCATAACCTTCTGAAATTACCTCCCGTGATCTAATCATGCTGTTAATGCGCATGCGCAGTTAACTGGTTGGAAGTACGTAAGAAGGCCTCTGATTGGTGCATTTCAGTCAACGATATCTAATGAATGGCGCGTGTCAAAAGTTCGGGCGTTATAAGATACATAGAATACCGAGAACCCACATGACTTCATCTGTCACCTGTGTCTTTGGAAAAACCCCTTTATTTCCGGCGATATATCCTTGTGTTTCGTAGGGATACTCACTGAATGCAATTTTGCATATAGTCGGTATGATTTTAGATAAACATTCCATCTTGTACTAACTGAAAAAACGCGAACGAGCCATCTTAAAGTCTCTATGAAGATTTTTGATTATTTTTTTAAATATATATTCCAACATTTCATGACTAGACTTGGTGAAGGCACACTCAAGTTATATCAATTTAATTTATGCCGCCACCAACGCAGAGGACAAGGACAAGACAATACTCATTTTCACTTGAGTAAGGTGAGCAAAGTGCATGCCTTTCCCAAGGGCACAAGATCGGTGGCATGTCAGGACTCGAACCCGAGACCTCTTGGTGCCGAGTCAAAAACTCTCCAAGACTGTCGATTGTTTATACAACGTATTAAACTCTGTGAAACTTCCCTCTGAAACTGAAACTGTCTCATAAACAGGTCTCGTGAAACTCAGCTGATCGAAACCGTCTGCCCTCAGATGTCTGTCTCGGTCATGACTAGTTGTCATGTTTTCAAGTTCATACACGTTGGGGCAAGACATACATGCTCAGGCTTGCTATATTTTATAATCATTACTAGGTTATAGCCATCGTACAACATTCAAGAACACCACAAACAAAATGTCAAACTTATCTGCGCTTACTGCCATTCCAACATTTTATGTTCTTTGTAAAAGCCATAGACAGAATTTGGCATTTCGGTTGACTAGAATATTCTCGAGAAGGCTGAGAAACTAAGAATTGATATGAAAATGACGTGAAGATTTTAGACAGTCCATAGGACTTTTAGACAGTCCATAGGAAACATAACTAAGACAAACTAAGCTTATGACAATGCATCAATTAGCTCATGATGTTTGAGCTCGTATATAGTCCGTTCGTTATGTCTGAATAGTGTGTTTGATTTCTCTCAACATGTAATCACGAGTTTTATTATGATGCCACCAACAGAGAGGACAATACAGTACTCATTTTCACCTGACTGAGAGTGCCTGTTCCAAGGGCACAAGGTCGGTGGCATGGCAGGGTTCGAACCCGGGACCTCTTGGTTCAGGGACGAACACTCTACCGTTACGCCTCACGACCCCACACAGTGTCTCCACTTCCTCATACGTCACTGGGAGTGAAGAAAGGGCCAGAAATAGACAGGAGTCAGGAGGAAGGGAGGAACCGAATAGGTGTGTACAGGCACGCCAAGGCCGTTATACACAGAGACACTCAATATTCCCAGAAAAACACTCACCTATGCACGTCACAAGGACTATTTTGAAAAGGTGTGGACACGACAAGGCCATTATTCCTACCTGGCACCTTTGAAAAATCAAATTATTTAATTAAACAGGCCTACGTCAGTGGGAGTAACAATACATAGACTCACTTATTCCAAGAAAGACACACACATATACACGTCACAAGGATGAACATGAAAAGGCATGGACACGACACACCAAGGCCGCTATTTGTACCTGGCACCTTTGAAATAAAACATGCCGATTGATTGATTAATTGATTGATTGATCAGTAGGTGTAACAATACAGAGACTCACTTTTTTTTTTCAGAAAAACACACACATAAAAACGTCATGAGGACGAAAACGTAAAGTTACTCATCATGTGACGCGAGCATCAGGTGATTATGGTGAAATTTTACCTGTCCACGACTGAGAAATGGACTAAACTGTTTACACAAGTACCGTACGTACTGCGATAGTGTACGTAAGTCATTGGAAGACTGAGTTTGAATTGGCCCAAAAATGTAGCCTCCATAGCATGCCAAAAACTGAGGGGTTATGGGGTCTTCGGGGTCTTTGGGAGCTTTTATGTGCTATTTTCTGATTGCATATAGACAACATAGCCGGCCTGATTGAATTACCCCCGTTTTTTGAACTGGGCTGATCAGAAAACAACCGAAGACCACCATACCCCCAGTTCTATATAAGCCTGCTACGGAGGCTACCAAAAATGTGCTCTCGACTATCCGTCACTTCACTGACAAGAAAGGAAAACACTGGACTTTATATGTTGTATAAAGGCGGGGTTCCCCGTCGTCTACTGCTGACTTGTCCCTTGAACGAGGTCGCCGAACCCTCACCCGGAAATATCATATATCACCAGCTGTCAGAACCCAAACTTAGTTAGAGTCGCCCCCATGACTACATACATGACATCACTTCTAATTCTGGTCAGGCGGAAACAAAAGCCCAACGTGCTATTATGTCATAGTTTCGGCCGTGTATGCATTCTACAAATGTGTGTCAGAGGGTTCTGAGCGTACCCCCACTTTAGAGTCATACGGCGCCACCGATAAAGCGATACAGTGAACTAACTATACGTCGAGAACTCAAAACTACAGACGAGAGAGAACGGAACAGACCAGTTGAACTGAGGAACAGGTGAGTTACAAGTATTTGGTATTCATTGTAAGATTTAATGTTACATGTTACATTTTTTCACTGATACTGTTTTTTTTTCCTGTCATACATGTTCAGTCGCGTTGTGTTATCTCAAGAAATAGTAATTGTTGTTGTTTCCAGTTGAGAACTTCTTGAAAAAATCTGTAGCCTCTATCAGGCTTCGGAAAGCGGCTGGGACGAGTAGAAATTGGCTAAATATACAGATGATATGCCTCAAGAGTTGGCGCTTAGAGAACAGTTCGCGTCTATTTGGCCGATTTAGGTCTACTCTTTCCAGCCGCTTCCCGAAGCCTGATAGAGGCTAACAAATTTGTGACGTTGAAAGAGGGAGTGTGATCAAATTCAACATTGAGTAAGCTGTGTAGTTGACAGACTCTCTAAATACTGTTGTCATTTTTACGCGTCTGCTTCGTAAAATACTGTCCATTATAGCAGTGCTGAGTTCATTTCGTTTCGTTTTCATTTTAGTTACGATGGGTTGGGAAGAAAAAGAGTTCGCGGCTGTGTTCTACAGCGAGCCCGGTGTGCTGGGCTTCCTGGCCAACGTACTGTCGGCCTTCCTGGCGGCGGTGGGGAACATGATAGACCCCGGCGAGCAGACCGTGGTCGGTACGGTCATCACAGGTCAGTACGTAGCTAGTGTGCCGTTTAGGTAGGCTGGGAGCCAGACTAGCATCGGGCCGTTAGCCTAGTTATAAAGCCAGCCTATACTAGTAGAGCCGTGTGGGGTCGTGTGGCGTAGCGGCAGAGTACGCAACTCGGAACTAAGATTCCCGGGTTCGAGTCCTGACATGCCACCGATCTTGTGCCCTTGGGAAAGGCACTTAACACGGCTTTCCTCACTCAGCTCAGGTGTAAATGAGTATTGTCCTGTCATGTATTTGTCCCATGTTGGTGGCGGCATTAATATAGTTGAAAAAAAACTTGAATATGTCGTCACCACGTCTGGTGATTACATGTTGGAATAAAAAAATAGAGCCGGCCAACTCCCCTCGGGCTCAACTCCCCCGTACTACCCTAGCGGTAATTTAGATTGGCGGACGTAGTGCTTTTGGCTACCGAAGGAAACCGGCTAACGGCCCGATACTAGTCTGACTCCCAGGGTACCGTTTAGGACGTTGCCATTAGCGTTTCCCTACTTCATACACCTATTTCAAACCCAGTAAAAACTAGTACCATGTATGTTGTAGAATATAGATTTATGTATGTTGTAGAATATTTTTGTATATCTACGTCTAGCATTATACTATATTCTACAACATACATGGTGCTAGTTTTTACTGGGTTTGACTTCTTTTTAGGCAATGGAAGACGAATTTACCCACTTCTTTCATAATATGTGGGTTCTTTGATTTTAGTAGTAAAATTGTTTTTTTGTGGTAAGGAATGGTGGGGAAGTAAGGGAGCATTTTGGACACGGTGGTAAATAATTGTTTTCAAGTGATGTCGTCATAAAATGGACAGTTAGAGATGAAATGAATTTCGTCTTCCACTGCAATATTTACAAATCCTTGAGTCAATAAAGAATCTGTATGTTGAACGTTGCCCTGTATGTTGTGCCCCCCTCCCCCCTCCTGAAATGCAGGTGTGCACCTGATAGTTATCGGCGGGTTCGTGCAGCTGGTGGCCGGCCTGCTCAGCTTCCGCAAGTACGACCACCTGGCCGCCACAGCCTTCGTCACCTTCGCCGCCCTCTGGAGCAGTATGGGGGTTTTGAGGATCCTGGAAGCCACCTCCGGCGTCACCGTAACCTCCGCAACACTCCCAGGCCTAGTCTCTTACGCATGCGTGGCCCTAGTGTTATCCGTAACTTCAGCAACTACTAACTATATCATGCCACCTGTAGCCCTAACCGCTGCAATTTTGCTATCGTTTGAAACTGTGGGCTTGTACCACGTCTGGGGCAAGAAAGTAGCGTTCGCTTTAGAAGTTATTTTGGTCCTTATAGCCCTGTACGGGGCTACAGCATTGCTTTTGAAGGGGGTTTTCCAACGATGGGTTATTCCGGGGTTCGGTAACGTTCCTTTCAATGTTTTACTGTTTGGTACTAAGGCGGGTGGATCAAAAAATAAATCGAAAGAAGAAGAGAAAAAGAAAAATACTAAATACGCTGAGCCCATGGGGCTAGGTTATCTTAGTAACGTAGCCGTAGCCGCCATTTTTGCTTTCCACTACCTCGGTTTTACCGTGTCTTTTCCTACCGCCACACCGTGGATCGGTCTCGCGCTGGTTTCTCTCATCATTGCCGCTTACTATTCCTTCTTACGGAATGATGCTTTTCACTGCGTCATGTTCGGTTCCCAGGCTACGTTCTGGCTCTGCCAGGCCGCGGGATTGGCTGCTTATAGCCTCGCAGGTGAAAACCACGGTCTTCGGTCCCCTCTGCTAGGTACGTGGGCGTTCCTTCCTACATTCTTACTTCTTATCCTGGTTTCTCTCACCAAGGACAAAGTGACGCTAGCCAACAATTTAGTCTTCGCTCTCTTGTCCGTGGCGTGGTTCTCTGTCATCCCCCTAGCGGGAGGGAAGTACGCTGCAGGCGCCCTGTGTGCCGCTCTCTCCCTCCTCTCTCTGTACTCCTCCTTCGCAAACCTCATCAACTCCGTCGCGGAGAAGCCAATCATGTGGGTCGGCTCAAAATCCGTCTCTATGGCAACGCTCCGTGAAGGTTTGCAGAGGTTTAGATGTTGCCAGCCCGACCCTGAGACGAACAGTAAGAAGAACGCAGACGACAGGTGCAGAGAGGACAGCGCTGACACACTGGCTTTCCTCAGCAATGCTGTCGCGGCGTGGGCAGCGCTGTCCGGCAATAGCGTCGGCACAGCTGCTGTCCACATGGCCTGGATTGTTGGAGCTGGGATTCTGGTACAGCTGCTGTCCGCCTTGCTGTCACTGAAGGTCAAGACTACCGCAAAGCCTGCCGGGATGGTGTACCTAGCGAATGCTCTGATGTGGGGAGTCTGGACACTCGTGAGGTTTTCAGGTACTACCTACACCTTTTCTACACCTGTACTATCTACCCCCGTTCTACACCCTACACCCATTCTACACCCTACTGACCCCTACTACTTACACCCATTCTACACCCTACTACCTACACCCATTCTACACCCGTACTTACCTATACCAATTCTACCCCCATCCATACTTACCTACACCCATTCTACACCCGTACTTTCTTACACCCATTCTACACCCGTACTTACCTACACACATTCTACACCCGTACTACCTACACCCATTCTACACCCGTACTACCTACACCCATTCTACACCCGTACTACCTACACCCATTCTATAGTTTCTTAATTTTCTGTCACGTATCTTGCATTGTGTATTGTTGATTTTGTGATATATGATATCTTACCAACTACACAGAACAATTTATATGTAATGATCTTTAAATGCTCGATTCATTTCGTTTTTCAGGATATATTTTCCCAAACAACTCCGCGCTGGACAACCACCAAGACAGCCTACTAGTCGGGGTCATCGTCCTAATGGTCATTAACCTCGGTAGTATTGTGTCCTCCTGTATCGTCAGCAAGGTGAGAAGGCATTGTTGTGATCTAGTCTTAGCCTCTACCAGGCTTCAGGAGGTGGCTGGAAAGAGTGGAATTTGGCCAAATAGCTCAATAACATGCCGGGGGAGTTGGGTTGCCGCAACTGACTTTAGCGGACCAACTCCCCCAATAATTTCCAGCCGCCCCCCAAAGCCTGGTCGAGGTTAATCTATTCTTTCATTTAATCCAAAACTCATCATATTTTCATACATGACAATTTGTGGAATTTGTGGAATGTGTTTTACATTGTTAGTCCATGGGCCAGTCCCCCAAATTTCACATATCGGTACCACCTGAGTTGGCAAATTCTCATTATGGTTTTTGAAAAGTAGGGTGTCTGTGGAATATTTTTCAAGGTCAGATAGCAAGGTCAAAGCTGTCAATGTGCAACGGCTATCATATAAAAAATATTCCACAGACACGTTACTTTTCAAAAACCATAATGAGAATTTGCCATCTGGTGGAACCAATATCTCTTCTGGCCCATGGATTATATAACATCCGTGTCCATAATATCACCAGGGTCCATAATATCGCCACCTAGCTTGAGAAACAGTGTGCTTTTAAGATATTTTTACTGCAACATACTTTTGGTATGCACCCTGCACAACTCAAATGTACATACCTAGGGTATATTGCAGTAAAAATATCTTTAGGCCACACCAATTTAATTTGTTGGTTCTCGGATTTTTTCATGAAAAATGTACAGCGACAGGGCGAAAAAAACATGCCCAAATGGTAAAGCTAAGGCTGGAAAAAGGGATTGAGAACAAAGCTATGACTATACATGCTAAAACATTACTGTTTTATAGCCTATGTATCAAGGATCAATTGTTGATGTTACTGATTTCTAATTAACAAGAATTAATTTTTTTTTTTCATTTTGCGATTTTTTGAAGCGGAGATTCCGAGAACCAACAAATAAAATTGGTGTGGCCTTAAGCACACTTTTTTTCAAGGTGGCGATATTATGGACTATGGTGATATTATGGACACAGATGTTATATATGGCCCTCCTACAACTTTCTAGCACACGGTTTGAATACTGCCTTACTGAATACACTGTTTTCCTTAGATCTGGTTGGTGACCACAGTGCTAGCAGAGGTTGTACAGGTGTGCCTGCTGCTCCACACCCTGGACAAGCTGCCCGCACATCTAGCGGAGGCGTGGCTGGGCCTGCTGGGGGTGGTGTGTCTGTACGGGGCGGGGGCAGGCCTGCAGGCCGCCGTGTGTGGAGTGGACGTGCTACCGGGCCGGGGGCCCGTCTGGCAGGTTTGTTTGTTTGTTTGTTTGTTTGTTTATCTGAGCCATTGTCCGATTGGTGTGCCTACCATTGATGGATGGATGGATGGACGGACGGAAGGGATGGATGGATAGATGGATGGATGGATGGATGGATGGTTGGATGGATGGATAGATGGATGGATGGATGGATGGATGGATGGATGGATGGATGGTTGGATGGAGGGATGGATGGATGGTTGGATGGTTGGATGGATGGATGGATGGATGGATGGATGGGTGGATGGATGGATGGATGGATGGATGGATGGATGGAGGGATGGATGGATGGATGGATGGATGGATGGATGGAAGGGTGGATGGAAGGGTGGATGGATGGATGGATGGAAAGATGGATGGATGGGTGGAGGGATGGATGGATGGATGGAAAGATGGATGGGTGGATAGATGGATGGAAAGATGGATGGATGGATGGATGGGTGAATGTAAAGATGGATGGATGGATGGATGGGTGGGTGGATGGATGGATGGGTGAATGGAAAGATGGATGGATGGATGGATTGATGGATGGATGGAAAGATGGATGGATGGATGGAAAGATGGATGGATGGATGGATGAATGGAGAAAAGAAATGAATTTGTTCCGAAACGTTATCACAATTTCTTACTTCTTGTTGAACCCCCCTATCCTTAACACATACAGGTAAACTCGGACACGGAGGAAGAGTCCAGTTCCGGCCAGCTGACCATCCCCACGCCGTCCTCCAGGAAGACCAGCGGGCTGCGGACCATCGCGGATATCCTGGACGGGGGCGGAGTGTGCGGCATCCCGACAGACACCGTGTACGCCCTGGCAGCCTCATGTAAACACCCGGACGCCATCAAACGTATCTACCACGTCAAGGTGAGTACTAGTACCCCTCATAGAAGGCTCGTTCTCATTCAACTGTGCAAAGTGCTTTCGCCACTCTTTACGACTAGATCACGGATCTCATCATTGCTTTCTTCACTTAAATTTTTCCCACTTACCCTGAGCGCCAAACTAGTATCGGACCATTAGCCGTTTTCCTTCGGCAGCCAAGAGCCCTTCGTCCGCCACGGAAGAGTGGTGCCCAGGCTACTTGATACTAAGGCCACAGCAAGTAATTTCTATGGATGACATCAGCGCGTGCATCGATTTTCGCCTGATTTTGGGAAAAAACAAGAAATTTTTTTGCCCCCGGACAATGGTCAACACGCCGAAATGGGCAAAGATGTCTGTTGCCATGCCGGAAGGTGGATGGCAGACAACTATAAAGAGAGGAAACAAGAAAAGGCTCTGATTTAATGATTTGTTTTTTACTTTGATGCAGTGATATGTGATGCTGGATGTGTATATGTGGTGTTTCCATTAAATCAAAACCATTTGTACAATGATTGAGCCGAAATTTCAAAATGTGGAAACCTTGTTCTTTGGCCCGCCTTGTTTTTTTTTCGTCCGCTCGCATTAGATTTGGGGTCTGAGGAGGATGCCATCCATAAAATTTACATGCTTTGGCCTAAGTACAATAGTTGTGCTCAACGAAGGAAGTGAACTTTATACTAACATGAGTTCTGACACGTTCTGTTCAGAGCCGCCCTGCTGAGAAGCCGATCTGTGTGTGTATCTCGCACCTGGGTCAGCTGGAGGCGGCCCGGCCCGGGTTCAGCCCGCTGCTGTGGGACTTCATGCGCCGATGTTACCCAGGAGGAATCAGCTGTGTGGTGCCTAAAGGAGACTGGCTCGCCAACCTAGGTACGTAGGTTCACCATTTGCATTTTATAATGGATTGTCCACAATATAATGATAAATGCACAAACAGTTCAACCTTCTTTCTGCTTGCTCCACAGTTTAGTTACATTTCATGCTATAGATAAATTCAAGTTCATTCTAGAAGGTAATAACCCTTAATGTGTACAAATAGGTAGATATGTCAAAGAATGTTTAGACCTTAGTATGTCAGCATGTTGATTCATCCATAGTCTTGTACATGTACGTAGGTCAATTCTTTTGTACCCACGTGTCTGTCTATATGTTTATTCATTCGACCGTATGAAAGTCGCTGTACTGTCGTTGTGTCAATAAAGTTCTCTATAACATTAGGCCACAGCAAGTAATTGTTATGGATGACATCAGCTCCTGAATTAATTTTCGAACTGTTTAAAAAACACAAGAAATTTTGTTGCGATGGTGGCTATATGTCGATAATGGGAAACTATGTCGTAAACGTCTATCGGCCAGAGACCCTCAGTGATCCAGCATACTTGAGGCACAATTGCTCACGTTTGAAGTGATGACACTGACAACTCTAAGTTGTTCCATTGCATATGAATACCCAGTGTAGCAGCTGCAATTGAACCCTAACCTACATGTACGCAATAGTATATATACTGTAGCATATGTGAATCGTTTCAAAACGCAAGTCTTAATCTCAGTACTTCATCTTACTACTTGCTGCGCATGTGCAGGTCTGGGTGACGCTGTGAGTTATATCGGCACGAGTGACAGTATCTGCATCCGGGTACCTGACAGCACGGCCACGGCTCATCTCGTGTCCATGACAGGTGGGTACAGCAATTTTTTTTTTTTAATTTCCAACATGTAATCACAAGACGTGGTGACGGCACACTCAAGTTTTTCAACTTATATTAATGCCGCCACCAACACAGGGGACAATACAATACTCATTTTCACCTGAGCGAAGAGAGGAAAGTCGTGTAAAGTGCCTTTCCCAAGGGCACAAGATCGGTGGCATGTCAGGACTCGAACCCGGGACCTCTAGGTTCCGAGTCGAGCACTCTGACGCTACGCCACACGACCCCAAAACAGGTGGGTACAGCAATATGGAAAGGGCGTTTACTAGCCTCTATCAGGCTTTGGGAAGCGGCTGGAAAGAGTAGAAATTGGCCAAATAGAGAGATGATATGGTTAGGGGAGTTGGTTCGCGCTAAGAGAGTAGTTTGCCGCTCCCGAAGCCTGTCGGGGGTCGCTACGTTCTTTTACGTCCAGTAATTGCTACTTAATAGTTGTCAAGTAGCTAAATTATCATTTTATTGCGGTAACCAACTCCTCTGGCATATCATGTATCTATTCGGTCCATTTCTTATACTCTTTCCAGTCGCCTTCCGAAGCCTGGTAGAGGCTAGTGTTAACCAGAAGATCTAGCTTTCCTGTCATTAAATGAAACCTGAACAGGGCTTAGAAATATTAGAGCTTAGCCGTACTTTTTTCAGAAGGATGGGTAACCAGCTTATCACATATGAAAAAGCAGTTGTTTAAATTATACTAGAAGCAAAATGCTGTTGTCATACTAGTTTAGAATCAAATGGCGTTTTGAAGTATTTTGTCGGTCTATTTAAATCTTAGAGACTGCATGTTAAAAAGATAGCTAAACATCTAATGTTGCCACTGACATATATTCTGTGCGTAGTTTGCCGCATGGACATATTCTGTTGTAAGTAGAATGACTTTACGTATTTAGCTTTGTTCGATCTTAATTGTAGTAGACCATACGAAAGTCCATGTACTTTTGCCGAGTCAATAAAGAATATGTAATTAATATAATATGTAATATCAATACTATTGTATAATAATATAATCTGTTTCAATACTGTTGTATGCTTATGATTTGCAATTAGCCTCCGGGCACGAATTTGCAATAAAACTTCTAAAACTTCTATTATGTAATATCAATCTCCCTAGGCCCCCTGGGCATCACGTCAGCTAACCCGAGCGGGGAGCCTGACTCCACCCACCACGACATGGTCCTGTCCTCCCTGGGAGACAAGATAGACGGCATGCTGTGTGACGGACCCTCCAACGAGTTGGTAGCGTCCACTGTCGTCAACTGCATGAAGATAGACGAAGGTGGGCGCCAAATTCAATGTGTTGTTTATGTTTATGTTTATGTTCATGTTCATGTTCATGTTCATGATGTACATTTATATAACTGATATTGCTGATATAACTGTGTCCTGCAATGGCCAGCATGTGGGCAATACTTTACAGGTGGCCTGTCTTAGGGTTTTAGACGGCAAACCGTAAGCCAAGCCACCTGTCAAGTATCGCTCACATGCTGGCACGGTGGTAGGACACAGTTTATTTCAGAAGCCGTAAGCTGGGTCATTGTAATTTTAGAAATGTCGCTTTGTATGAAGAAAAAAATGATAGCTTGGACGCCAGTCAGACTTAAGCGGCAAAAGTGCAAGAGTGGGTATTTTGAATCCTACATGTATATGTCTGAGCCGAGTGTTAATGAATTGTCACATTTTGCCCCACGGGGCTAAAGACATGTTGACAATAATATAACGTAACATTATAAATATATATATATATATATAGACTTCTAGCGTACTCTAGTACATTCGACTTCCTCTCACTTCTTAGTAATAGTAGAAATATAGGAGGCTGTGTGATTAGTAAGAGTTGGTTTGTCAACAACTATAAAGAATATATTATAAATTTCCCTGTACTATTCAAATATTTGAAGTGGAGGCATATACTTAACACATAACTGAAAAGAATGATTCTATCGCTATCACACAAAGGGCAATCTGAATTTCGTCTTCTACTTTAGGCCACACCAAGTAAATTTTATGGATGACGTCCTTTGGAGACCCTAAAGCTAATGCGAGAGGGCGAAAAAAACAAGAAGGGCCCAAGAAAACAAGATGCCTTGATTAGAAATATACTAAGAGACGACAAATGTTAGGACACAAATTGAATGAGGTGACACAGTGTAACAAGCAAGAAGTCTTTTATTCATCATCAAAACAGCAATAAATCAGGTGGAACAGCAGTTGTCGTCCTGCCCTGTTTTCGCATTACGGGTTTCACGTCAATCTAACGATTTGCGGCACTGTCGTAACTCTTTGCTCATAGTTACAGAAAGCAGGATTTATTGTTGTTTTTTTCTAGGAACAGTTCAAAATCAATGCGCGCGCGGACGTCATCCATGGCCTTACCTAAACTTTAAAAAAAAATTGGCAGATCATGAGTTAACTGTTCTAATGGTTGTTGTTCTGTCCCCCTCCAGTCGGCATCTCGTTCTTCCGTGTGGGCTGTACTCCTCAGGAGCGGGTGGAGCAGCTCTTCGCACAGGCCAAGGAAGCAGTCCAGCATGCGCAGTTGGAAGCGTCCATCAACTCCCTTTAGACAGAACACGCCTAAAATTTATGAAAAACTTAAACTTTTCTCCAACTCAAAATTTGACTCACCAGAAATTTTCGACTGAATCACTCAGTCTTCCTCAGCTATCTGACCCAAATGCTGTGGACACGTGATTTTTCCCACGTGTGACGTCAGCAAAGGGTCAAAGGTTGTCTGAAGTCGATATCGCCCCCCGTCCCGGTTGAGCGATGGTTGAAGTTTTTCATAATGTAATTTACCAACTCAGATGAACTTTCATGCTGACGCCTAAAATTTTTTAAATTCTTTTTCATTGAATGAGTAATCGAAGACCTTTATTGTAGATATATATCCACGTGTGTTAAGTACAGGTCACAACAAAAGAATAGAATACAGATAACGTTACATGATATATACATACATTGTCAAGTAACTACAGCTAAGTGCAGATGTTTCATAATTGAACGTTTGTCTAAGTACATTAGAAATATAAATTTGTCTGTACCGGTTGGGTGTATGATGTAGGGAAACATGGATTGTATCAGATTGTATAAAGTTCTGCTCTTTTTTTGTTATTGCTCACCTTCAATTCTTGCTAGGTAACAGAATCAATATATTCATTGTTCATTATTTATTTATTAGAATTACACAAAAGACAAAAGGACAGAATACCATCTGGATTACATAGTTGGATTTGTATTGATGTTAAGCTATTGTCTCTGTTAAATTGATTTTAATGACTGGTAAAAACACTGCACGTAGATATTTTCATAGCACTGTACCTTATGTCGAAACACGGGCGTTTTTTCTTTATATTATTTGAACAATCATGTAACTATTTATTCATATTAAAATTGTCAAAATGAAAGTCTTGCTGCAACCGCTGTGTCAATGGAATAAAATATGTTACGTTTGAAATTGTGTCATAGCTGTTGATTTGATTATATGGATGATACCCGCGTGTAAATATTCGTCCGTTCTCCAAAACATTTTGGCCGTACTGTAAATCGTACAAAATAGCTGCAAAATGTTAAGGAAAACATGCCAGTTCGGAAAAGTATATTATATCCTCCAAGTGTATGAACGAATTTGCAAACATTGCACGTTGATTACGGTGGAAGACGAAACGTATTTTATGTCAAATTGTACCCTCTATAGCAATGAACGAAATGAACTCTTTGACGTAGCTTCCAAATTCTACCCAAACTTTCACATATATAAAAAATGAAAAGAAACTACTCTCCTCTTAACATCCGAAAACCCACAAATTACAGAAAAAGTGGGATCCTTTATCTGCCTCTGTCTTCAAAAAAGAAGTCAAACCCAGCAGTTTTTATTAGTAGTTTCGTAGTATATATCAGTAGTTCTATGTGTACTAATTGTCTGCATACCATATGTTTCTTCTGTTCCTGCAATTAGCCCTCGGGCATAAATTTGCAATAAAACATTCATTGTTTATCTTACACTAGCAGTCAAAACTAAGCATGACCCTTAGCATAAAATCGCATTCATGATATATTCAGATGCTGACTGTGTGCCAAAACTAGCTGAAGAAATATCGCAACATTCTGAACAATGAACCTCATATTTAACGTTAATATCTGTTCATTTCAATATAGTATACTTCAATATTTAGTGCCTGTAATAGATCAACGATTGCATAGGGAACAGCCATGAGTCGTTAGGCCAGAGGTAGAATTGCTGTAGCCTCTACCAGGCTTCGGGAGGCGGTCGGAAAGAGTAGAAAGTAGCCAAATTGAGAGATAACATGCCAGGGGAGTTTGTTTGTTTGTTTGTTTTTTGTTGGTACGCTACAGTTTGCCACACATAGTACTATCCAGCGGACCAACTCCCCTGGCATGTTATCTCTCTATTTGCCCAATTTCTTCTCTTTCCAGTCGCCTCCAAAAGCCTGGTAGAGGCTACAATCCTCACACATAAGTAATAGGAAAGTTTATTGTAAATACTTGCCCCAGGGCTAATTGCAGTTACAAACAACGTAAGAAAGAAAATACAGTGGTATTTGAGACAATATCTACGTGTAGCATTATACTATATTCTACAACATGCATGGTACTAGTTTTTACTGGGTTTGACTTCTTCTTTTTAGGCAGTGGAAGACAAATTTACCCACTTCTATAATATGTGGGTTCTTTGATTTTAGTAGTAATATATAGGTCTATACCTATTTTGTCCAGCGATATCAAACCTTTTGGCGGTCTGCTAGACACACTGTGAGTACGGGTTATCTTGGGATATTGCAAACTGCTAACAAAAGCGAAACCAACTTGTTACTGCATATGCCTATTAATAAGTTTGTATGATAGCGAAAGAAGCATAAGTGTTAATCAAATGTTCCCATTTTCGGCATTTGAATAGCACAGAGAAATTTATATTCCTTGAAGCCTTCGATAACCCACTCTAACTAATCGTACAGCCACCTACATTTATACTATTACGAAGACGCGAGAGGAAGTCGAAAGTACGAGTGTATACTAGACGTTTATATATAAGTTTACGTTGCATATATAATATATAATGAAATACCTTTATTGTACATTCATGCCACGACGGGCTAGGTACAGGTCAAGACTTAACATACACATTACAGACATATGTAGAAAATTGGAGCTCGAGACAAAAGAGACACTACATACATACATTAGGAACATACAAGGACTATACTAGGCTAATACAAAGTGTTCTAGTCACTGAGCTAATATAGAGAGGTCAACTTCTTCTCGCTTTTTTGTACAATGGAAAAGGTGGGAACAGGTCATGTTTGTGATACATGGTTTGTCTAGACGCATCAAAAATATAAATCTATCATTTGCACTTAGGTGTTAACAGTATGGGAACTTCTCTTTGATATGATTAAAAAGGATAGATCTAAGACTGTTAACATGTGACCTGTGTTTAGCCCAGTGGGACAAAAATATAATTGATTTATAAAAACATCTCGTGACTTTCTCCTGACTATCGAGAATGACATCACCTTACTCCCCCAAAGTTTCACTTCCACTTTCAGGGTTCTGAGAAGGCCTCTGAAAGTGAAACAGTGGCTACACTTGGCACACAGTCAAGTAGCCGGGGCGATTTTTAATGGTGCCAGGGCATGTTTGGTTTCGATCACAAGATGGTGACACATGAACAACGTTGTGGGAAACACCGACGATGTTTGGACTTCCCTGTTGATTCTGACTCTGTGTCTAGCACACAACCCTAGCCTGTACTACCACTGGTATTGTGTCACTCAGCCTTTAGCCAAGAGCTCTAGCCTCCACCAGGCCTTCCTACGGGAATACGGATCGTGGTAAAAAGGATTTTGACCAGGCAAGTCAGTCCGCGGAAGGTTGATTCTTTCCCACCGAAGGCGCAGCCAGTTAAACCCCGAAAGGCCAAACTAGCCTGGCAAATATTCAAATAGTCTGGTAAAGACTACAAGAGCTACGCCACATCTTGAAAGGGAAACTTCGTCTTCAAGTTCGAATTCAAGGTAAGTTAAATTCAAATGGCATAATATCTCAAAATGCTTTGTGTAAATTATTTGTATTACATTTGATCTGCCAACAGGGAAGTATTAGTCGTTTTGTGACCTCTTGTAGGTCTACTGCATGCCCTGCATTTGTAAAAGTCGAACACAGTATCACAAATACGTCGACGTTAAAGCTGCATTATATGTAACGACGCAAAAAAATAGAAATTTTCTGGTTATTTCTTTACAAAGTAAGTCGAAACAACCCTACCCCATTGCAAATACGTGCCGCATGTCAGGAAGTGGAGGTACCAAAATATAACGCCTTACGAGTGTGTCGGCCATGATGTTTGTTTACATTCTGGTATTTTGTGGTGGCACCACAAACTGAGTGAGCCTCGTGAGGGCTGTTTTAGCGCCAACCATAAATGTTAGAAATGTGAGATAAATGCACAAATGTGTTGAAAAGGGGAAGTAAATTAGAATCACATCAAGCTAGATTTTTCAATCAAAATATTTTGATTTTTGGTGCAAAATGTTACATGTTGCCCCTTTAAGTGCTGTAACGTTCCCAAACTTGAAACCCACGATCAATATACTGAGATCGGCTTCGAGTTTTCCCTGAATGGCAATATGCTGAGTGTCTAGCCAGGCTTTGTACGTTACATGTAAGTAACGTTAGATTTTATTTTGATGTCATGTATATCTTGTTTTATAGATCTTTATTGACACAACAAAAGTACAGCGACTTTCGTAAGGTCTAAAACTACATGTAGACACACAGACAAATACATGGATACAATTTACAAATTAACCTACGTACAAAACAATAGATGAGTCAACTTATACTACTTGTTCTAAGGTCTAAACATTCTTTGATATATTTACCTGTTTGTACACAGTAAGGGTTATTACCTACTAGGATGAAATTGAATTTATCTATAGCATGACATGTATAGCAAATTCATGAAATGTAACGAGCAAGCGGAGAGAAGGCTGAACAGCTTTGTGCGTTTATCGTTATATAGTGGACAATCCATGATAAAATGTTGTTCGTCTTCAATACCATCTTCCTAATTCTATATTCAATTTATGGCTACAAATTCTCATTTTCGTAATCGATCTACGAACTTAAAAATTATGTATATCAGAGAGGTAATTTTCTTGTCCGCATCTGTCCTTTAACATCGAATAGACAGAAAGTTTTGAAATGTTTTATATGACAGATGCCTACTCGAAACAAGGACAAGGTCGTGACCCTTCCCGTGGGCCCCCGCGTGCAGGGCATGACGGGAGTGGTGCTGGGTAGCCTGGTGTTGGCCGCTCACAACTTCAGTCTGGACCTGACTGTAGCCTCGCCCAACAGCCTCGTCACCGGGGCTGTACTGGTCATCACGGGCCTCATGCAGTTTTCCGCAGGTAGGACATCTGGGGAGGGGCTTATTAATATCTATCGAAGAAAAAGATATCGTTTTTGCTCAGTTTTCACCTCTTCTTTTTCTTCTGTTCCAAACAAATAAGCAAATAAAGTCAATGACCGGGACCATACGTCTCTCACCATGGTAACTGGTTTGGGTTTTATCATGTAGCAATTTCATAGTAGGAGGGGTTTATACTCCTGTCACCATATATATGAATGTGTTTGAGTAAGAATTAACAGAGCAGACCATATGCGAAGGGAAACATCACGCATTTCCTTGGCAAATGTTACCTTTCTAGTTAATAGGTACTGTAGGCAGGAGATAATACATATAAGATTTTACGAAATTTTCCGTATCATTGTATAATAGAAAGCTGCATTACGTAACAGTAGGACGATAGAAAAAGTCGTTTGTATTTTTAATTCCTTATATGGTCATATCTTTACAACGTAAGTTGAACCAATCCCAACCCATTGCAAATAAATGCCATTTGGGAAGTGAAGGTACCAAAATATCATGCCTTACGAGATTTGTTTAGGAAGCTGGAACAGTTTGTTTGCATTCTGGTAGTTTGTGATGGTACCGCAATCTGAGTGCGCCTGGGGTAGGATTCATAAATGTCATAAATGTGAGATAATTATACACAAATATATTGGAAAGTGGAAATGAATAATAATAACACGATTTTTTTCAATTAAGATATTTCAATGTTTGGTGCAAAATGTTACATATCCCCACCCCCTTTAAAAGGCATATACTTTGTTGTTTTACTCCATTCAAATCTGTGCCTTTACAGGAGTCCGTCTGCTCCGTAGGCGATGTCACACCCTGACCACCCTGTACCTGTGTCTGTCCGTGCTCTGGGGTTCCCTGGGGTCCGCCAAAATCCTGGAGGGGTTAGACATCCTCTCCTTGAACGCCCGTAAAGACGGCCTTCTCCCAGGCTATGGCGTCTTTTTGTTCCTCACCCTTGTGCTGGGGATCGCGGCTACAAGAGAGAGTAGCATTGTCGCTTGGATCTGTTTTCTGCTTAGTTTGTCCATGGTTATGGAGATTGTTGCCTTGTTCTTTTCGGCGGGAAGATGGGGCGCAGCATGCTACCAGGCACTGCCTGTGTTACTGGGTCTGTACTACGTAGTTGGTTTGACAGTGTCACACTGCACAGGTAACCGTGTAAGTCTGCCTGGCATGAGGAAGGAAAGACAAGATGCAGGCGAAGGAGATAACGAAGTCGTCAAGAACGACATCCTGGCGTTTGGGTATGCTATGAATATGATACCCACCTGTGTGCTAGCGCTCTTGTTCGTCGGCGCGACTAGTGCCGTTAATCAGGCAGCACCGTGGCTGGCGCTAGGGGGCCTTGCCCAACTACTGGTTTCTGTGGTGTCCTTCAGACGAGAGGACGTGTTCCATGGGGCTGTGTTTTCCTTGTCTAGTACATTCTGGCTAGGAATAACCTACGGTTTCCTCAGCACGCTGTGGGGGAAGAAAGAGATGGCCCCTCCTTTCCTCGCTTCATCCATTCTCGTTCTCATCTTCCTTATCTTTTTCCTCCTTTCCTTCACCCAAACCATTGCTGATGTAGTCTACAACCTCTGCTTTGCCATTCTGGTCCTTTCCCTTCCAACTACAGGCCTGAACAGTACCTATCTAGGTATCGCCAGTATTTTGTTGCTGTTGATCTCACTTTACTGCACTTTTGCTTTGACGCTGAACTCTGCTTTCCGGAGAACTCTTGTTCCTGTGGGAGAAGTCTTCTACCTGAGGAGTCGCTACGAGGGGTCTTCGCTCGCTGCCGGTGTGCTCGGCACGGCTATGAGAGTTTGCCGTCCAGCCCAACCACAACTCCTTCCGCGTCGAGCGACATCCTCGGCTACTCGAAGTACGCCAGTGCGGACACGCTGGGGTTCCTGTCCAATGCCGTGACAGCTCTAGCCGTGGCGCTCTTGTCTACCGGAGACAAGTCTCTGGTCCTCCCCTGGGTGATCGTACCGGGAGGAGTCATCCAGTTTGTGGCGGGAACCATCAGCTTCTCCCGCGGGAAGACGTTCGAGAGCACGGCGTTCCTGGTGTACAGCATGATGTGGCTGTTGTGTGGGTCTGTCAGGTACTCTGGTGTCTACAGGGGCAGTGAAGGACTCGGTGTGGCGGCAGGAGCCGCGTCCTTTCTTCTCTTTAACCTGTTCGTCATCTTCTTGTCTGTGGTGATCAACAAGGCGTGGTTGGTCCTGTCCGTGGTGTTTGAGGTGGTTTGTGTGCTGTTCCTGTTAGACTCGCTAGGCGTCCAGACTAGTCAGTACTTTGAGCTGGCAGTGATGTGTGTGTTTGGCGCGGTGTGTGTGTACTGTTTCTGTGTGCACCTGCTGAACGGTATGTGTGGGGATGAGGTGATGTCCCTGGGGAGCCCGCTCCTGACCCTGGGGAGGGGGCGCCGCGACAGGGGTGGGGAACAGGGGTGTGTCATAGCGGACGCCAGGAAAGCTAACGGTGTCAAACAAATCGCAGGTTAGTACGATGTTTCAGTACATCTTTATATTGTGATGATGTATAGCAATTTTTTTTACTCATTTCTATTCTTATAGGAAACAATTTTTGACGGGACAATGACCGTATGTTGAACCTTTATTTGCTGATGACCTGTACCGTTTTTTTTTCTAGTACCTCATAACACAAGTACATACAATGTCCTGTTCCGTTACCTCACACAGAGCTCCTGAAAGACGGCGGGATCTGTGGCATGCCTACAGACACCGTGTACGTGCTGGTGGCCGCCTGTAACCGGCCTGCCGCCGTGGAGAGGGCCTACCGCACCAAAAAACAAGCGGAGGAGAGACCCATGTCCATATGGATCTCACAGGTGAAGAATGTACAGCAGCACTGGGGATTTTGTTTGTCCGAGAAAACTAAAACTAGAAATTCTACTGGAAATCACAGGTGTTCTATGCTTGCTAAATGTGACTTGTTTGGTTCCAGTTGAGTCAGCTGGAGCCGGCCAGGCAGGAGTTCTATGCTTGCTAAATGTGACATGTTTGGTTCTAGTTGAGTCAGCTGGAGCCGGCCAGGCAGGAGTTCTATGCTTGCTAAATGTGACATGTTTGGTTCCAGTTGAGCCAGCTGGAGCCGGCCAGGCAGGAGTTCTATGCTTGCTAAATGTGACTTGTTTGGTTCCAGTTGAGTCAGCTGGAGCCGGCCAGGCAGGAGTTCTATGCTTGCTAAATGTGACATGTTTGGTTCCAGTTGAGCCAGCTGGAGCCGGCCAGGCAGGAGTTCGGGCCGCTCCTGTGGGACTTCATGAAGGAGGTGTGGCCGTCCTCCATCAGCCTCGTTATCAAGAGAGGTACGTTTCCATGGAAACCTTCTCGTTCCCAGTGTTCCAACATTGACGTACAACATCACTGTAGTTTATCGAGAATTGGAATCAATTTAAACTTCGTTATAGTCTTGGTTCTTAAAACCTAGCTACTATTTATGCAGTACGTAATTTCGAACACAAGAATTGGACTTACTCAAATTTTGGACTGTACAACTCCAGTCTTTGCCAACAAGGAATGATCAAAACATCGCTTCCGTGACGTCACGTTATTCAGATGGAACACGTGACTCGGTGAGCAGATCGAGGATCGTAACTTACAGAATGTCTGTGGCGCCCCCCGTCTTTGTTGAGGGATGGTCGTAGTGCCCGGATGTAGATGGCGTATTAAATAACGTCTACCAACACAGATGAACTTTCAAGCTTACTACTATGTGTCCCTCCCAGGTCCGTGGCTGGACAGGTTTGGGCTGGGAGACTCCGCCCGCTACATCGGCACCCCTGAGAGCATCGCCATCCGCATCCCAGACTGCACGGTCGCCACCCACCTGATCGACCTGGTGGGACCCATCGCCGTGACGTCAGCTAACCCGTCCGGGGAGGCCGACACCACGCACCACTCACAGGTCACGGCCAAACTCGGAGACAATGTGAGTGCAGGGGAATTAACATTGCAACTTTGCTCTGTACCTGTATAGCCGGTATAACCGCCCTTCGGCGTATCACACCAGCTTCGCAGGCACGCGGCGCGGCGGCAGCTGGCTACATTACACCGAACGACCTGTTACACCCAATTTTTGCACGTCTAGTTGTGGGAGCTGTTTAAAGCTAGTGATGATGCCCCAGCTGTACTTGGTGTCAACGAGTTCCACCTTACCAATGTTCTTTGAAAATATTAGTTTTTTGAGCACCTAAATTTTTGGTTGACAACTCTGATATTTGAAAGCTCTATCTTCATTGCTCACGTGAAAAATAAAACAAGTAAATTTAAAGCATGTAGTTTCCTATAAACCTGTACTATTTTAAAATCCCTAAAATCACTATAGCCTCATGTTGCTAGAAAAAAGTACCGAAACTCAAGATAAGCCCTACTCGATTGTAACACTATATCAACCTTCTTGTTTTAGTTATGAAGTTCTGTACCATTTTCGATACTAGTAGTTGTTGTCATACATTGTACCATGTACGATTGTCGTGAAATAACGTTCTCCCCTCTGTAATTTATTTCATTTAGGTTGACGGAGTACTTTGTGACGGGCCATCACCTGAGAACATCGCCTCGACAGTCGTGAACTGTACGAAGATTGACGAGGGCGACCTCGGCTTCTTTCGCGTCGGCATCGTGCCGAAGGCGACAGTCCTCGGCATCTTCGAGTCGGTTCGTCGGCGTCACAGCGGTAGCGGTTCCGCGGGAGGACGTAACGACAGCGCCGCACGACGTCGCCACGACGGGTCATCTACCAACATGGCGCGAACCCGCGTCAACGTCGACGTCGTCCGGGGCGTCGCGTCAGACCTGGCGGGAATCGTGGTCCATCAAGCCCAGGACGACGACTCGGACATCGGCGGTTTACCACATGTCGCGGTCATCGGTGGCGCCGACACAACGGCTAACTCTCTCGCGTTCTCCACAACCAATCTTCTAGACTTGAAATCTTAAAACCCTTGTCCCGCTGACCCCAACAATTTTTGTTTTGCACATACAATACAATCTATATAGCACCCAGTACAGGTACGATTTGGGGGTATTTCTCGTGCAACGCATCACACCGCAGCGAAACGCAACGAATGCGGAAGTAACTATGCCACTGCAGAGCAAAAAAATGGGGGTCTATGATCTAATTAAAACATGAAATTATTGAAAAATATTGTGTCAGAAATGCCAGCAGGATAAGGGTTAAAAATGCCATGAAAAATACCTTCATGTATAAGTCCATTCCAAAATGGAAGGGCCCGCCTTCTGGCGTTCAATCGGCTAGTAAGTGTAAGTTTCGGGAGGAGCTTTGTATGTATGTAAATCAATCAGTTAATCAATCAGTTAATCAGTTTAATTTGAAATAGATATAGAATGTAAATATAGCCCCAATGATTTTCATGTAGTTTGCATGTCTTGTGGTTGTATGTTTTAATGTCCAGGAAGATTAGCTGTTTACAAAATTGATGTTATAGTGTCATCTAACGGACATACATGTAGAAAAATATCCATCCATGGTACCCAAAAATTACAGTCATCTGAGACAGAAAATAATTAAAGCTTCGGTCGTGCGTCAAAACTACTACATGACTATTAAGTGTAAATACCCTTTATCCTATTGTCAACATAGATTAGACTTTACTTCAATGACAGCAAAAGTGAGACTTTGTCATAGTGATCCTTGTTTCCATGGTAGTATCATAGTTTGCACAAATATCAGCCTATATGATTGAATCGTACAATACTTTTAGAACTTACTTGGAAACAAGAACACAATCCGATATGATAGCAGCAAATGAATATGCAGTCGCAGTATGTGTACAGAAGTAGACGTTGATTTCGTTGGTTATTAATTAATCAAAGGTTGACGGAAAGCATTTATATCGTGAACAGTACGTCTCCATTGTGCGTAGTTTTATATAGTTAATATATTTCTTTACTCATAGGTTGATCCTATGGACGACACTCTTCGTGCGCACTTGTTGAATCATGTATCGGTATAGGTCATTGACGGAAAGCACTGAATAAACGCAAGCGAAAATGACTTCGAAGGTTGAATGAATCTCATATTGTCTTCACATCATTTACATTAGGGCATCATCAATTCTTAGTTTTATATGAAAGGCGTTAGTTCAAAGGTAATAGTTCAAATACAGTAAAGGTGATATACAGTAACACTCTCAGATAAATTGATAATGTGATATCTAAAATTTTGACTTTAGTCGCATGGGTTCTATTTGAACAATTTGAACTGTTATTTAACTGTATCTGATAGAGACTAGAATGCTGCCATGTGTGTGAAGCACCACAAAGGGTTCCGCAAAGGGTGACACTGAGGTGGTCTTGTGGTTAGGGTTTTTGACTCAGAATCCGAAGGTTAGGGGTTCGAATCCCTGGCAGGCCCCAGGCCCTTGGAAAAGGCACTTTACACCGGTATTTCCTACCTTGACTCAGGTGTGAATGAGTACCTAGTTTCGGTTAGGGACGTTCTCTTTGATAGGACGTAAATCCAAAGGCCCCGTGTTTAAGGAGAGCCACATCTCGAGCACGTTAAAGATCCCACCACACTTGTTAAAAAGAGTAGGGGCCCTTCCCGGTGTGAGTGAGTCAAACCCTACAGCTCATTTTTCTTACGTAACTTGTAAGGGTACGGTCACATTTCCAAGCCGGGGCCTGGCCGGGTTGTTTGTGTGCACGAAAAATAAACCAATCAATCAATCAATCAATCAATCTTTATTCATTAAGGAACTCGCGGGCAACACATGTGCACCCGAATTACGTCCTTATTACACAAGTCACATTAAAAACATTTACATTTTAAAACGAATCGTCACATAGGTAAAATCTCAATATTAAAAACATCACAAATAACATGTCACAGTTAACATATGCTATACATGGCGCGATTACCAGATGTCCAATTACTCAGTGCTAATTGTCTTGTTGTAAAGACGGATTGCGCAATGGAGGAAAGAATTTCTTAGTCTCTCAGTCCGGGCCCTTGGTACACTGATAGTGCTAGAGTTTCAATCCCACCCACGATCACTCTTGGAGGTCAACCAGTGCCATCTGTCGACTGTGCTAAGGGACTGGGTTTCCTCATAGACAAGGACCTAACCTTCAATGAACAGGTTAACTCCATGATCAGTAACGCTTCGCGCAGACTACACTACTTGCGCCTACTAACGAAACAAGGCACCAGCGTTACCGACCTAATCCAGATTTATCTGGCGCTAGTCCGGCCAGTGCTCGAATACGGACATGTGTTACTGGTCGGGTGTAGTAAGGAGCAAGAACTGGCCATCGAAAGGGTCCAGCGCCGGGCCTTGCGTATCATTTCCTTCATTTCCAACAATTCGTATTAAGAGTATACACAAATAGTCTTCATGGTCAACTTTCTAAAACCTTTTTTTGTGTGTGTTTTTCTGTCTTATATCATAATTTTCGTTCCAAACGACTGCCCGGCCGGGCCCCGGGTTGGGAAATGTGACCGCGCCAACTTGTGTGTTACGCCTAAAAGCGGTTTCCAGTTATGCGAAACAAACACCTAGACACGGCCTCGCCTGCAAAGTCAAAGGTTTCGGAGATATGTACGTGCGGAAATCTAAAACGAGTGAAAAAAAATGACCTCATTGAAGTAAGTGCCTTGTGATCGTGTGTAATGCACTCCACAGTTTCAGTGACCTTGCGAAAAAAACACGCAATCAATTCCTTCATGTTCCACTGATCGAAGGTACTAGTACTTGACTCAGACACGTAGCATGACGTAGCCGAAACTAGTTCTCGGAAGAGGAAGTAACAGCACATGTATACGACAACAGCCCCCTTCTTGGAACGAAAGGAAAGCCGTACTTTTGTAGCCAGTTGACTAATTAAATTACAGTTAACCCCACCTTTAGTACCACGCGACTTTCGTTGCTAGGTGATGGGTTACGTCACAAGGAAGTGATTACCACTAGGTGGTTTCCATCAGTCTACCGTCAGTCTGACCAATCAACGGCCTGGACGTTTATAGAACGCTCTCTGATTCGCCGAGCTAATCAGCAGTTCATCACATGACAAAGCAGACTACTAGTTTTAAAAGGAGTCCAACTTCCGACCAGTGCCCAGTCTAGCTCGACAGCCCACAAATCTCAACAGACCTCCAGCAAATATACCTTCCGCTTGCAGACCATGGAGAAGCACGGTGTGGTACCAGATGTCAGTGACTCAGCACCAAAAGGCACTTTGCAGGTAGGAAAATAGATTCTGATATAAACAGACTAGCCTCCACCAGGCCTTTCTTAGCCTCTACCAGGCACCGCGGATCGCTGGAAAAATAGTAGAAATTGGCCGAAATAAAGGGATAGTATACCAGAGAAGATCCAGGGCCATAGAAGCTCCGTGGGTCGCAAATTGGAGCTTCTATGGCCCTGGATCTTCTCTGGTATACTATCCCTTTATTTCGGCCAATTTCTACTATTTTTCCAGCGATCCGCGGTGCCTGGTAGAGGCTAGCCTTCCTATGTGAACACGTATTGTAGAATTTGGCAAAAAAAATAGAGTAAAATTGGCCTAGGGAGTCCGGCCGCGGGGAGGTAGTTTCTTTCCCTCCGCGGCCAGTCAAACCTACAAGGCGGCCAAACTCCCTAGACTACGCGTTCTAAGCTTTTTTGTGAGTTACCAACATTTTTTCGGTGTGAATTTCTGACTGACCGAGAACTTTTCTGTGCACAGGTCGAGTACGGAGGGCAGAAGGTGGACTCTGGGAACGAGCTGACTCCAACCCAGGTACGAGATTGCCTCAAATGGCTCCTCTTTATTGCATTGTGTTGTATTCTTTATTCGCACATAAATGAATTAGAAAACCAAATACGAAGAACAAATACATAAGAATAGTGTGCTGGGGGAGGGCGTAGGCCAATTTTGTCTCTCCGATGCCTAAACGTAAATAATGAATCAGTAACTAACAAAAACTATGAATTGAAATCCTGTCGGTTCAGATTTGAGTCTATCACTACTTCTTGCTGAGTCATTGCGTTGTGTGAAATACGAAACCATAGGTTAGAAGAACGATGGACAGCTAGTGATATGGGTCAGTTACATATACGGTATTTTCTTTCTTATCTACCGAAGGTGAAAGATAAGCCCACGGTTCTGAAGTGGGACAGCGAACCGGGAGCCCTCTACACCCTCATTCTAACAGGTGGGTACTGTACCTCCACTCGGTAGTTAAAAGTTTATGGATTGAATCATGAAAGGGTGGGCAGGACTGGAGTAAATACACATGAAGTAAACAGCAGAGGGGAACGCTTGTCTCTACCAGACTAACTACGCTGGCTATATATAGGAGAATAATTGCCAGGGGAGTTTTGCCGCCTTGTAGGTTTGACTGGCCGCGCAGGAGGGAAAGAAACTACCTCCCCGCGGCCGGACTCCCTTGGCCAATTATTCTCTCTTTTTTTTGCCGAATTCTACGATCCGTATTCCCGTAGAAAGGCCTGATTGGAGGCTAGGGAACGCTAATGTACACGGAGAAAGAGAGCGAGACAGCAAAACATTTGACAAAATATCTGTGAGTGAGAGAGAGCACGGGTATAGGGGAGGAATAATTACACGATCTGCATAACTACACATCTATTTCCTCTTTCGTATGGCTTGTCTTGTGATTTCTTAGTCATCTGCGTGGTATAGTTTCGGTTTCGATAGCACTGTAAGATTCCTCTAACCCTCTCTCTTGCATTACGCCATGTAGCATTCTTAATGGCCAACACAACTTTGCCTAACTCTGCGATACCCTTGATGAGTTAGTTAAACGTGTATTGATGATGGTTTCAGACCCTGACGCGCCCAGCCGTGCCAACCCAGAGTACAGAGTGGCACCACTGGCTAGTGGCCAACATTCCCGGAAATGACGTCAGCAAGGGGGAGGAGCTATCTCAGTACGTTGGGGCGGGGCCACCTCAGGGAACAGGTAAGGCCATTAGAGCATTAAGAAACAATGTATTTTTGTGTGTAGCAGTATTATCAAATTAGAGCTTAATTTCACATTGCTATCTTTTATGTTACCTTGTAATTGTAGACATTAACTGTACATGTATATTAGCATCTACCAGGCTTCGAGAGGTGGCTGGAAAGAGTAGATAAATAGAGAGATAAGCATGCCAAGGGAGTTTGTCCGTTGAGAGAACAGTTCGCCGCACCTACATGTATATTAAAAGGCATTCAAATTCAGAGTGGCAAAGCTAGATTTTTAAAGTCAATTTTCTTGTCATTCTTTTAATGTAGTGATTTATAGGTGGTACCTAAAAATACAACCTCCTCATATGCATGTAGGTTGTTTGGGGCTATAGCTATTTCAAGTGCTTCTAGTATGAAATGATGGCAAAATATGCTACGAAATTGAAGTTAATATCAATTATTATATCAGAAAGATTTCTTCATCTAGAATATTTTTCCCGCCCTGAAAGTGCTTGGGATGCCTTTGAAGAGTTATACACTAACCCTTGTCCTGCTGGCAATTTTTGCACAATATTTTGAAATAATTTGAAGTCTTAATCAGGTCACAGACCCTTGACTTATTTTGCCCCGCGGTGGCGTAGTTACTTCCGCATTCGTTGCGTTTCGCTGCGGTGTGATGCGTTGCACGAGAAATACCCACAAATTGTACATATACAGGGTGCTGGACAATGGTTTTATATATAATTCACCAATTTCACACTTCCCATAATGCCTAGTAACGGTCACGGATATGCAGGGATATGACGTAAGACCATCCCCCCTCCCCCTTCCTCGATGTAATATTTCCAACAAATTCTATCGACAAACTGGTCAACTATTGTTTTGAATTATTTATCTAGTAGATCTATAAAGCACATGCCATAATTGCATTTTTGTTAGAATTAGAGAAAATGACGTACCTTCTATCGTTCCACCTTCTACCGAAGACTCTCCTACTCGCACGGTCGCATGCATTACCGAGTAGGAGAGTCTTCGGTAGAAGGTGGAACGATAGAACGTACGTCATATCCCTGCATATCCGTTACTGGGTGACCGTTACTAGGCATTATGGGAAGTGTAAAATTGGTGAATACATCACTTTTTGTCATTTCAGGCCTCCATCGTTACGTGTTCCTGATCTACAAGCAGCCTGGGAAGATTTCCTGTGACGAGCCCAAACTTACCAACACTTCCGGTGACAACAGGTAAACATAACAAATCTTTTATCTACTTCTGTTGGATTTCGGATATAAAATTCTGTGATATATTTCTCTTCTGGAATTTCGCCTGAAATTAAGAAAAAGATTACATCTTCAACATAAGAAATAAATGTACCTTTTGCTTTATAAGCTGCATTATGTAACATTGGGACGATACAAAAAGTAAATTTTCTGGTCATTTAAAATGAAATACAAAATAATTTTAATCAACCCCAGCCCATTGCAAAAGTGTCATTCAGGAAGTGGAGGTGCCAAAACATGCAGACTTACGAGTTGAAAAGCTGGAAACACAGCTGTCAGCCATGTTTGTTTACATTTTGGCAGTTTGTGGTGGCACCACAAACTGAGTGAGCCTCATGTGGGCTGTTTTATCGCCAACCATAGATGTCAGAAATGTGAAATATTTACACAAATATGTTGAAAAGTGGATTATAATCACTCATTATTGTTATTGTATTATTTTGCCCATGTTTGAATTTTATTTTGATAACAATCCTTATGTATGTATCTATTATTTCAATTCAGTTATGTTTAGTTTTGGTTAGTATAGAGGAGAAGGGCTTAGCATAAGCTAAATAAGCTTTTCCCCTCCTCCTGCACCTGTTTTATTTATTATTAGTGTATTATGTATAATTTTTATTGCTGTTTTGCAAATAAACAAACAAACAAACAAATGTTTCTTTAGTGTCCTTGTTTAACATAGTGACCCTTTAAGAAGACATGGAAGCATCTTACAGTCGTTTTGTTTCTTTCCTGTCCAGAGGGAAGTTCAGCACTCGTGACTTTGCCAAGAAGTACACCCTGGGCTCGCCCGTGGCGGGAAACCTGTTCCAGGCACAGTATGACGACTACGTGCCCGTCCTGTACAAACAACTCGGCTTCTAACCGTTACCATGCCAACAGAACTTCGTAGAAATGCCTGTTATAGTGTACTGTGTAGCAATATGAGTCTATACAACTCTGCTATCATGCAGCAAGATTAAACTGTAATTTCCAACACAAGAAATTGGACTCGCCCAAATTTTCGACTGTACAACTCCAGTCTTTGTCAAGGAATGAACAATCCACCGCTTCCGTGACGTCACGCAGATAACACACGTGACTATGTGAGCAGTGGATCATAGGTTGCAGAAAGTCTGTGGCGCCCCCCGTCTCTGTTGACTCTGATCCACTGCTCACGGAGTCACGTGTGTCATCTGCGTGACGTCACGGAAGCGGTGGATTGTTCATTCCTTGACAAAGACTGGAGTTGTACAGTCAAAAATTTGGGTGAGTCCAATTTCTTGTGTTGGAAATTACAGTTTAAATCAGCTGCATAATGACTTCTACCAACACAGATGAACTTTCAAGATAACTCTACTATTATTGACTTATAAGTAAGCGAAATAGATTTTTTGTATGCTTTTGATGAAATACTATCAGTGAAGTCTTGATGTAGGACATACGAATGCATCGATCAATAAATCTGCTTTACATTTGACAAACCAGTGAGTTGAGTTATTTTTGATAGGTTAAGTGATGGTTTCTAGCTAGTGGTTATGCACTTACATTAGGTGATCAGCACTAGTGAGTATCAAAAAAGATACAGGTTGTCTAGAATTTAAGACTTATTGAGCTTTAAGAGTCTGACATTTCTTTCTATTGAAAATACTAATTAAGGAACCCCTCCTACATGATATACTAGTAACCGCAAGTCTGCAATAGAGAGGCAAGAGACAGCCTCTCAGCGCCCCCAAGCGTCAGACACCAGAATTACAGCACAAGGGCGTGTAGAAAATAAGAACAATTTTATTGGGGTGATAAATGCTTAACTTTAGCCCAACCACACCATCTATTCCACAAGGAAGATAATAAAACAAAGGGCCATAAACTATTCAAAAATACATGTAATTATATATATCTCATCTACTAGAGAAGCAGCCTGAAAAGACACCGTGTCAGTTTTACCTTACAAACGATACCTTTTAGCCTCCACCAGGCCTTTCTACGGGAATACGGCAAAAAAAGAGAGTAAAATTGGCCAAGGGAGTCCGGCCGCGGGGAGGTATTTTCTTTACCTCCGAAGCCCAGTCAAACCTACAAGGCGGCCAAACTCCCCTGGCAATTATTTTCCTATATATAGCCAGCGTCGTTAGGCCACAACAAGTAAATTTTATGGATGACATCCTCCGCAGACTCCAAATCTAATGCGAGCGGGCGAAAAGAAAGCAAGGCGGGTCGAAAAAAACAAGGTTCTTATATTTAAAAATTTTGACTCAATCGTCGTACAAATGGTTTTGATTCAGTTGGAACATCACATATACACAGCCAGCATCACATATCACGACATCAAAGTAAGAAACAAAACATTAAATCAGAGCCTTTTCTTGTCTCCTCTCTGCCATCCACCTTTCAGCATGGCAACAGACATCTTTGCCCATTTTCGGCATGGTGACCACTGTCAGAAGGCAACAAAGTTTCTTGTTTTTTTTTCGAAATCAGGCGAAAATTAATGTGCGCGTTGATGTCATCCATAAAAATTACTTGCTGTGGCCTTAGTTGAAAAAACTTGAGTGTGTCGTCACCACGTCTGGTGATTACATGTTGGAATAAAAAATAATAATAATAGTGATACCTTTGGCCTGTAGACCTAGGTGTAGGATTTTACCATATTTGCACTTTACAACTATGGATAAAGGCGTTCCTTCTATTTCACAGAAGTTTATAGTTGCAAGAGAGTTGCAATCCATGCAGTTGAACACTGCCCCGATACACCACAGTTTGTCAAGGAAAGTGTTCTGAACTACAAACAGGTAACTTATTTGGATGTGCCCGTGCACGCATGTAGGTCAACCCGGGGTCTGTTTACACACCGAACAGTGATCGTACCATCATGAGGGGGTTGTACAAAGTCGGCTGTATTTTTGTGAAGGATCCAACCTTGACTTCCATCCTTCAGGTGTTTACCAAGCCTTTATCCACCACCAGTTCCTCTGTGGCCGCAGAGGTTCACAAGTTCTGTTTGGAAACACCTATTGAGGAAGCCACCACGCCTCCTGCTAGCTGGTACGTAAGCAACATGCAACAAAAACTGTTGCCTGAACTTTGAAATCTTGCCTGTGTTCATGTTATCGTCTATTGTTTGTGCAAGCAGGTCATGATCAAGGCCAGTAGCATCGGCAGCTCGCTCCGATATCGTAAGGTTTCAAATATGAGTGAGCGGGTGTTACGATCAGCTGGTTTACAAGTCACTATCAAGATGGCGGGGTAGTTATGTGCTGCACCTCTAAGTTTTACCGCTAGGTGGCAGTTTTGAACAAGGATTAGAAACTGAAGGCATGTCCAATTTCAAGGCGGCAAAAATTGGATTTGCAGAGACATTCTTTTAATACAGAAAGCTGGGTCAACCCTATCCCATAGCATACTGATATCTGTGTGGCAAATATGCTATGTTCACAGAAAATGATAGCTTTTTTTTTTTTGTATTGCGTAGGTTGTTTCTAGCTACTAACTTTATAGTGTTTATGGGCGGTACCCAAGAAAAGGCACTTTCAAAAAAAACAAATGCTTCAAGTATGAAATGATGAGGAAAATGTGCTAAGAAATGGCAGCAAATGCAATATCAGACAGATTTCCTCCCAGAATATGTTCTAATTTGCTGAAACTGTATTGGATGTCTTAAAGGGGCATTGTGTAACATTTGCACCAAAAATTGAAATATTTTCTTTTTAACAATATGCACGTGATTGTAATTTACCTCCACTTCTCAACATATCTGTGCAATTATGTCACATCTCTGACATTTGGTTGGCGCTAAAACAACCCACACGAGGTGCACTCAATTCATGGTGCCACCAAAAACTACCAGAATGTAAACAAGTATGGCTGACGTCTGTGTTTATATTTTGTCACCTACACTTCCTGAATGGCAGTTGTTTGCAATGGACGGGTAGGGTTGATTCGAATTTGTAAATCAATAACGACAAAATCTACATTATGTATCAACCTAAGGCCACACCAATTTAATTTCTTGGTTAACGGATTCGCCGCTTCATTTTTTTCTGATTTGCAAATAAAAATAAAAATTCAGAATCAACTGCAAAATGCTCATATTTTGCCCTGAACAGTTGAAAACAGACTTTTTCTTACTACTTGTTACATTCATTCCACATTTCAATGCAGTGGCATCATTATAAGTTCAAAATTCATTGTTTAAATTTTGAATCAGTCTGGTGTGTTGAATTCATGGCTCCTATTGTATCATTTTGGGCCATAATAGGATGCTTAAGCCTGATTTTATTTTATTTTTTTTGCCCGCCCGCTCCATTATTTTTCTAGAAAAATAATGAAATTAAATTGGTGTGGCCCAATGTTACATAATGCAGCTTTAAGAGGAATGGTGTTTCAGGTACACAGATGAACGTCTGCACGACCTGGAGATGAGAACGGTGTTCCGGCGGAACTGGGTAGCCGTGGGCGTGACTAACCAAGTGGCGAGACCTGGACAGTTCTTCACAGGTTTGTTGAACCTATCATTATACATTGTGTAACTTTCTCAAAAATAGACAGTCCCACTATAGCTACCTAGACAGACTGTAGCAAGGCTGAATATAAGCAAACTTTTATCTAGGAAGGTGCTCAGCACCAAGGACAGCACACATATTTATCCAATCTTTGCTGTACGGAAGGTGTTCAGCACCAAGGACAGCACACATATTTATCCAATCTTTGCTGTACGGAAGGTGTTCAGCACCAAGGATAGCACACATATTTATCCGATCTTTGCTGTACGGAAGGTGTCAGCACAAACGACAGCACACATAGGTATCCAATATTTTCTGTACAGAAGGTGTCAGCACAAAGGACAGCACACATAGGTATCCAATCTTTGCTGTACAGAAGGTGTCAGCACAAATGACAGCACACATAGGTATCCAATATTTTCTGTACAGGTGTTCAGTACCAGCGACATCATACATAGGTATCCAATCTTTGAGGTACCAAAGTTGGTTATTAAAAAGGACAGCACACATAGGTATCCAATCTTTTCTGTACAGAAGGTTTTCAGCACAAAGGACAGCACACATAGATATCCAATCTTTGCTGTTCAGAAGGTGTTCAGACCAAGGACAGCACACATAGGTATCCAATATTTGCTGTACAGGTTACAGCACCAGGGACAGCACATATAGGTATCCAATCTTTGCTGTACAGAAGGTGTCAGCACCAAGGACAGCACACATAGCTATCCAATCTTTGCTGTACAGAAGGTGTCAGCACAAAGGATAGCACACATACTAGTAGGTATCCAATCTTTGCTGTGCAGAAGGTGTTCAGTACCCAGGACAAACTTATGGCTCTCTGGTGCAGAATTTTTGTGATTGAAATGTGGGAAAGTATTTTCATTCAGACTTGTTTCAGTATATTTAACCATAGGTTTCTATGGCCAAATGTAATAATAGTGTCTGCCCCTTAGGTTTACTGGGTGCAGACCCGTTTGTGGTGGTACGAGACCAGTCTGACCAGCTGAGGGCCTTCCATAACGTGTGTCGCCACCGGGCTAACATCGTGGTCAGACAGGAGGAGGGTCAGACTGACCAGTTCACCTGCTGCTACCACGGCTGGACATACAGACTGGACGGCAGGTTTGAACATCTGATTATCCTTTTTTTTATTTATTCACATTCATTACTGTTATTGAGATGCTGTAGCTCTACTTTGTTGGAAAGAGATGATAACAAAGTACTTCTTTGGCTGATATAACTATGATTATCCTTGTACTGAAAGTTATCAAATAACAGCCACGTGGTAGCATAGTTGTAATAAAGCACAATGCAAGGTTGTCACAATGAGCAGGTATATGTCATAAATTGCAACAAAATGTTAGAAAACAATAGTAATGTTGTAGAAAATCTAAAAATCTATTCAAATAAGAAAATGTGAAGAAATGAAAATGAGGAGTCTATAATTCGCTACACAACATAGATTTCTGATGATAATGAAGGCAACTGTTTTGCCAAACTCTCTCATCAGTTTCGAGCTACCAGAGGATGTCATTCTTATAATCAAATCAACATGGTCTAATTTTAGCTATATATTTCATTTAGTGCCATCCTTGTTGGTAACTGAGCCCTTCGTTCTTCCATCCACAGACTATCCAAAGCTCTGCGGTTACGCAGAATCAAGAACTTCTCAGCGCGTGAGAACGGCCTGAAGCCGGTAGCGGTTCGGACGTGGGGCCCGGCGGTGCTGGTACGGCTGGAGGGAGACGGCAGGACGGACTTCCAGGAGAAAACCTCTCCGTTATTACATCATCTCGACTCTCAGGGTTTCACACAGGGGATGACACACATCTGTCGGCGCTACTATGACACCAGGTGTGGAATGTTGACTATGTTTCATAAACATTGTATTTTTACTGTATTCTTTATTTTAGCACATGAATAAATGATAAAAGCAATAGAAGGAAAATTAATAAGAAGAGTGTATGGGGGAAGGCAGAGACAATTTTGTCTATTTGAGGCCTTCCCAACAACTCAACGTAAACAGAGAAGCTGTAATTAACAAATACTCTAAATTTGAAATAATAATACATACATGTAGCTGAACCAACAACTAGCATAGCAAACCAAATATTTAAAAAAACTGTTCAGATCGATGATTGCTATCATAAAGTAAGAAGCTGTAATTAACTAAACAACTAAACATAAACAAAGAATCAGTAATTAACAAAAAGTATGAAATGAAATAACATTTCATTGATTGCCTGGACTTTGGCAGAAATAAAAAAAGTTTGTAACTTTGTGCATGAATTGCATGCAGTACCGAATTTGGGAGATCGGGGGCTCTTCTCTAATTTGCTTTGATTGTCATTGTATGTTGTACTGCCATATTGCCATCTAGATTCATGTTTTTATTTTTTTCCAAACATTTATCACGACATGGTGAGGGCACACTAAAGTTTCTTCAACTCAATTTTTTGGCCACCACCAACGCAGAGGACATTACGCATGAATAGACAACAGACAGTTGGATCACTGTGTGAGTTACTCAGTGAGGAAATTCATGTTAAGTGCCTTTCCCAAGGGCACAAGTCTTTATTATTCAATATCTATAGGACGTAACAATATGCTGTTTTATGCATTACTACATGTAGTCTTCTTGCATAAATTGCAGTACCGAATTTAGGAGATAGGGGGCACTTCTGTAAAGTATTGCTTGGATTTGATTTGTATGTTGTCCATATCTGTTACTTTGTCTAGATGTGCTAAACTATGTCTAACTACAGGTGTAACTGGAAACTGTTGGTGGAGAATGCCCAGGACCACAACTCACATGTGGAGTATGTCCACAAGGACCTGGCAAAGATCGTAGACCTGCCATCCACCAAAGTGGAAGCTACGGACCTGTACAGCAAAATGGTAAGGCTGTAAGACGTAATTACATGTGGTTTACCCCGAAGCCGGTTTCAAGTGGCTCCATCTGAACGCTCCAAATCACATTGAAAGCGCCTCAATCCCAAGCCACTTCTAGAGGTGGTTTCAAATCGGTTTTCCCGCATCGCGATTTGCGTCTGAACGCAATGTGATTTCAAAGTAACTTCGCCTGGTCATGGATTACGGGGTGATATTTCTTTATTTATATGCAATACCAACTTTGACGTGGCAGCAACTTAAAGAGCAGTAATGGTCAAATAATGTGTCCGTTTTAGGACGAGCTTCACCGCCTCTGGCGGGATCACGTCAGTATTCAGCCGAGATACGCTGGGAGGGGGGCATCAGCAAGCAGGTCGTTGACCTCTGACATTAATAACACGCTACCTTGCGTGTTTTCATCAAACAACAATAAATGTAGCTCAGGCGAATTGTGATCGGACACGGTTTGCAAGGAATGTGTGGCACGTGGACCAGATGTGAGGAATTTGAGTTACCCGAATCGCGGTTTGGGTGACTTCACATAAACACGGCCGTAGATACTGTTCCCAGTAACTGTGTAGATATGTAAATACTTCACATTTGGGAATGCATCTACATGTATAGCAGTGACACCTGTGCTGCAGTGCAATGTGAACCAGTCAGAATCGCCCTGAGGAAGGCGACAGACTGTCACTGAAATGTCTGCTGAATAAAAGGCTTGGTTGTGTAAAAAGAGCTACAGCACCAGTTACCATGGTGACAGCGGTCTGGTCAAGGTTATTGACCCTACATGTTTGAAGAAGAAACAAAACAAAAACAATATATTTTCCTTCTGTGAACGTAAAAATAATATATCTCTACAGAAACAAATATATGAGTACCTCAGATATTGTTCACATTAGTATATTTACTAAAAAAAATATTAACTAAAAATAAACTATTTCAATGACATCTAATTTAGCTACAAAGGTAATAGATGCTTAACAAATGTGATTTTTATATTCATTTGCGTATGTTTTTCTTCCTCTAGACGGGTCTAGGAGCAAAGGAAAACGATGAGTCTACAGAAGGCCAGCGTTACGGAGAGGGGTACACGGTAGCAAACCTCTTCCCAAACCTCGCTGTCAACCGCTACGGTCCGTGGCTGGACACCAACCTACTCCTACCCCTGGCCGCTGACCGCACACGGATAGTCATGGACTACTTCTTAGAGGAAGACTTCGTCAAAAACACAAGCGAGAAAGAACTGGCGGATTTCATAGAGACGAGTTTGAAGGACAGTGACCAGGTGCAAAAGGAGGATAATGATATCTGTGAGAATGTACAGAGGGGACTGTTGTCGTCTGCCTATGATGTAGGACGGTATCTGCCCATGATAGAACATGGTCCACACATGTTTCATGTGTTCCTGGGTACAGAGCTCAGAAAGGGACTGGAGTTAGGGCAGTAATGTTAGCTCGGTCTTCATTATCCGTGTTTGTTTGTTTGTTTGTTTGTTTGTTTTATTGGGATCTCCATTAGTGTTTATTACATTGACACTATTCTTTCTGGATTCCATTCAACACAATGAAATAAAATGTTGATAACAAAAACGTACTATACAATTGGTATATGAAAATAAAGAAAAATAATAAGATAAATTTTCAGTATGACATCTGTCATAGCTTTGCAAGAATTCTCTGAACTACATCATGTATAACTGATAAAAATGATCGCATGGTAGAACATTCATGTGAATTTTGTGGCTTTTTATATCGCATATTCTGCAGATAGACAATTGATGAATATGATCACAGGTAAAACTAGTAAACCTTTCATTTCCAATCTAGTTATGACATGCCCTGACTGCATATCTTTGTATTTAGGCCAATATATGATTTTATTATGTAGTGCCTTACAAAAGAGAGAAAGTATTGTAACTGACAGAAATCATGTCAATCTTGTCAATACGCCATTTATGTTCATATTCCTGTAGTAATAGTTTCTTAGAATACTTGTCTAGTAGTCTTTATTGTACTGATCACATTGTCACTGTTGACATACCTTGTACAACTGTCCAGCAGCAAAGTTCATTCATAGTACATCTGTAGTAGTCATAGTACATCTACTAGGGACAAGGTAAATGTATCCTATCTAGTATGTCAATTCATTGCTTCATAATGTTAACTCGAACGTAGTAACTGTTATAATTACTTCACAAATCTGTGAATAGTTTCATCAGGTTAGTAAGTCACTGAGCCACACAACCAATTTGGTTGAATAAAATACTCCGTTGTGTAAAAAGAGTCTCTTTACTTAGCTGTAATTTCATGTAACAGTTACAGTTTACATGTTCAAAAAATTAAAGACTGAAACAAAAATGTTATAATATCCTTCAAAATGACCTTTGGCGTTTTTCTACATCTTGTATTCCCATTGTTTAAGGATTACACGTATCATGTGTATATGTGACCAGAGCTTATCCCATTAAGATAGGCATACAGACCACATGCAGAGTTTTGAATGTCATATCCAAATAAATCCCAATCATAAGAAGATAATGTCAGCAGAACAATAAAATTAGCTTATCTTTTCCTGATACTCGTGTATTGAGTTGATTTGTATAACCCAGTTCTCAGCCTGGCAAATAGAAGTAACCTAGTTCTCAGCCGGGATAAGTGACCTGAGTTCTTAACCGTACCATATTACAGAAGTCCAACATGACTAAAATACTGGTGGACGTACCAACCACTAAGTATCTAATACCAGCCCAGAAAAGAGCAAGAAACGGCCATGCCTTTAAATATTTTTTATTGCAAATTGATGCCCGAGGGCTAATTGCAGGAACATTTGGTATAAAAACAGATAATTAGTACACATAGAACTACTGATAACTACTAAGAAACTACTAGTAAAAAACTACTGGGTTTGAATACCTGAGTTATCCACCAAGAATTGAGGTGTTCAAAAAGTTGTATTTTCCAAGAACTATCGTAAACTGGAACTCGTTGCCACCAAGCTCAGTTGGGGCATATCAGCTATAGAAAGCTTTAAACAACTCCTGCAAATAAATGTGCACAAAGATTGGGTGTAACAGGTCGTTCGGTGTAATATAGCCAGCTGCCGCCGCGCCACGTGCCTGTGAAGCTGGCGTGATACGCAGAAGGGTGGTTATACTGGCTATACAGATACAGAAGCTGGACAGGTGTGTACGCCGGAGAGTGTTTATACCGGCTATACAGATACAGGATCTGACGTCGACTACAAATACAGAAGTAAGGAGAAATGCCACAACCTTATTTGTATGATTTCATTTACACTACATACTGCATGTATAGTATAGTATAGTACAGTACAGTACAGTACAGTATAGTACAGTATAGTACAGTATAGTATAGTACAGTATAGTACAGTACAGTACAGTACAGTATAGTACAGTATAGTATAGTACAGTATAGTACAGTACAGTACAGTATAGTACAGTACAGTACAGTATAGTACAGTACAGTACAGTACAGTACAGTACAGTATAGTACAGTACAGTATAGTACAGTACAGTATAGTACAGTATAGAAATACGACCAGACGAACAATACCAGGGTATATAAATCACAAATAGACTGAGTCTGACCAACTTTTCAAAGGTTGTGTCATTTATTACTAAAATCTGTACATCAAATAATCAACCGCTCAAGCCACAACAACAAACAAACTTAAGATCTGATGACATCAATATACACTTATTACAACAGACGTAATTATTCCAGTTTTGATCAGTTCCCACTGCAAACATGCCGCATTGTGTGTCCTGACAGGCTCGCAAACAGCCACCCGGACCGGTCAACAAGCCGTGTTGTCCTAACCTTTTTCTTTACGTCATCAGAGACCCACGGCTAGTCTTTTAAATCCTCCTCTCTATAGAGGTTCTTCAGAGTGTAAAACTAACACGCTGTGTAGTATTGGGCCATGTACAATAGCCCGTAATCGTCCAACTACAAAAAATCCAGGCGACCATGTGGTGTGATTGAGAGCACTCGAAACCACTTTCCAACCTCAGGGGGGTGAGCAAGCATTGGATTACCTGTGGCACAGGTGTTTTATCGCTCATTTGACACGGAGAGTTTCTTACTCCATAAAAATTAGAACCCACTAGACTTTCCTATATAATCTCCAAGAAGATGTTTTGGTGGTGGGAAAGACAGTATAAATTGTCCAGGCAGTATACCAGACAGTTTCCATTTCCTGACGCAAAAATACTACTTAACGGGTAGCCTGGGTTTCCTATATAATCTCCAAGAAGATGTTTTGGTGGTGGGAAAGACAGTATAAATTGTCCAGGCAGTATACCAGACAGTTACCATTTCCTGACGCAAAAATACTACTTAACGGGTAGCCTGGGTACCATCCGAATTTTTGCTCGGTAACGCTCGAAAAAATCACGATTTTTTCGAGCATTGCGGAGCGAAAATCACGATTTTTTTCGAGCGTTGAGGAGCGAAAATCCGGATGGTACCCAGGCTACTTAACGGGCTCACTCTTTACAAAAAGAGTGAACCCGTTAAAAACGCATAAAAAAGCCAAAAGTAAGCCGAAGCCTCTGCTTAGAGAGTAGCCAGCCTTTCGAAAGGGTGGTAGAATTCGGCAAAAAAAAAAGCTCTGACTGGCGAGGGGAGTAGGTCCACCGTTGGGTCTCCATTTTCTCCTTAAATGAACTCTAAACCGCCTAATTATGCCCTTTCTGGCTACAATTTACAGTTTATTTTAACCCGCCTTGTTAACGCTAGTCGCGTTTTTGCCGAATTCACCCACATAGGAAGCTAAAAGGCTACTCTCCAAGTATCTTTTTTTACGCCATCCAGTAACAAAATATACCAGTGCAAAAAAGAAAGCCCGATAAAAAAGCATAAAAACACGCCAAAAATAAGCCTAACCCCAAACCTCTGCTTGGAGAGTACGCAAACGCTAATCTCCAAGCAGATCATACGGTGGCAAGGCGGTATCCATTGGCCAGAGCCTTGCCACCGTATGATCTGCTTGGAGATTACTCAAACGCCTGGTGGAAGCTAATATTATGCGGCAAGTACAGAACATTTGCACTGCCCACAATATGTTGGTTTGCAAATCTGTACGAACTGTTTGGCACGAATTGATTGATTGGCACGAATAAAATCCCGACATCCTGTCGAATTGGCATGTTTAGATTGTAAACTCCCGTGGGAAATTGGCATCATCTCTGAACACCACAAGGAAAATTCCCTTTCATGTAATTACTTCTACCATGGAGGTAAAAAAGATATACCTCCATGCTTCTACAAATGGCGACTTGTTTTGGTCGAAGTAATGTGTCAGAACAATTTACTAAAACATGGCCAGTGGGTGATTCAATTAAAAATGTCGGCAGATTATTTACGTCTAATTGTATCATGTTTATATTGTTGTCATAGCACTACATGTACATGTTGTGTTGTGTATAATTAACGTTGCATCAACTGCTTATTAAAAGATAAACACTCATTCCTTTGGAATATGTTGCAGGTGTTTTAAGATAATCTCATTACAAAAACGTAATTATTTGGATTAAAAGCTTGTGTTAACGTTTTTTTCTGATTTTCTATACGTTTCTATTTTTAGACACAAGGATTGTGGACATTTAATTAAAAACTGGGAGAACAAGTCTTAATTATGTTGTGACGTAGTTTCTCACCTCACCCAGGGCAATAGCTCCTTGTAGCTGGGATAACCGCCCTTCAGCGTAACACACCAGCTTCGCAGGCACGCGGCGCGGCGGCAGCTGGCTACATTACACCGAACGACTTGTTACATCTTGAACATTGTTTAAAGCTATCTAGTGATAATGCCCCTATTGTACTTATAGTGACAGCGAGTTCCACTCTGCGGTAGTTCTAGCAAAGAATGAGTTTCGCCATTTCGTCCCACACAGCACCAAATCTCAACTACCGACTGTTCACTATTTAGTATGTTGAATCAACAGACTTATCCTTTACTAATATACCAATGTTTTATTCCTAATACAATTTACCAAGCCTGCCTCTATGATCTCAACAATGGTACGTAAAACTGTTGCAAAATGTTTGTTGTTGCCATATATAAAATTGATAAATTGTACGTTATAAAACTGTCCATATAATATATATACACATATATATTAAATCCTGCTTCAAGTTGTCCTGTCTGTCACGGAGTCCTTTTTCTTGACGTGTGTGTTTCACCGATGACAAGTTGTCGGCACCTCCCCTTTAGTAATCAGCGGTGACCGTGCTGTCCACAGGCGCAGCTGTCCGTGTGTGACGCCTGTCTCCACTCTACGTGCTTCCCCCTTACTTTTCCCGACTTCACCTTCTCAAGTCTGACAAATACGCCAGTCAAGTTACAGACGTCTCTCTCTTAAGACAACAACGTTAAATCAATGCCCGAAAACGATTGCGGATACATGAAGTGCACTTTTCCAGTACAAATACAGCCCTCTCCGAGTCGGTCCCTGTGATCTATGTCTACTTCTGTGTCTCTAAATGGTTTTGAAGCTCTTGAATTGAGTCTTGACAGTTATTGGACACCTTCACATAGTATCGAGCTGCCTAGCTCCGGCTTCCTGCCCCCACTGTAGGCACGCCGCGTTTGAATCAACAGTTACCACTACAAATATTTTTCCAGCACAAAAGAGAATACTTACACAAAGACGAAGCCACACGTGTCAGCTTACCTCGGAAGGACTTTATATGCTCTGACGTCTAACTTCTAAACCCCATTATAAGTAAGACAGTGATACGGTAGGTATTAGAGTTAACAATTTTTTTCTGAGTGAAGGGCTTTCAACAAATCCCCTAATCCTTTCAACTGTTACTACTAAGAGCCTGTGTGTCAGACTTGTATAGTTGCTACATGGTACACATATAACACCTGTAGAAACATAACTGTACTGTGTTAACGCCAGTGACCGTGAATTTGACTTCTATGTAGCTGCACATGTACATGACCCTGAACTGATTTACTGTGCTAGCTTTATACAGGAGCCTGTCTAAGCAATACTGCAATAATAGTGTTCTATAGAAGCGAAGGTATGTGGCGATGTTTTCGTGTACGTGTACGATCAATCATGCTCAGAGTTTTTCTTGTCACACACCTTGAAGTGTTGTCACGGTGTTCACTTGGCTTCTGCCGATCCGACATTCATGTTGTCCCGGTCAGCAATGGTGAAGTCAAGGCGGGACAAATCCCGGGTATTGTCCCGCCTCGCCTGTTTGTTGACGGTTGCCTAAAAGGCCCTGATGCCGCGATAAGTCCACTGGCCATTTGTATGGGGCAAACAACGCACTTAAGAGGCGTTTTGGAAAACATATTTAGGAGAACATGTCAGTCATGTGCATCGCGAGCCTTTTGTTCCAGGATATGTGTACTATTCCATGTACACGGCGTACACCGTTGCCACGCAGAAGACGCTGCCGTTTTCAAACGTCGCGGACGCGAAGGTGTCGACACTCGGGTCCCAGGCACAGCGCGACGCCACCCGTATGTCCTGGCACTGGCGCTCCCCGATGTTTGCCACGCTGATGAGTTTATATCTGGGTGGGAGAAATTCCTTCATCCTCTTCTTTGCCTCCTCACATAAGTTCTTGGTAGTCAGTCCGGCCGTACCGGAGTTGTATGTATAATCACACAGCCTCTCCTCTAACAGTTCTGACAGGGCCTTCTCGGCTCGTCCCGTAAAGAATTTAGAGACGGGGCCGAGTTGGTAGGTGTGTTCTTGCTCAGGCTCGTCTTCCTCCGGCGGGCGCGGGTGTTGTGGTCTCCACGGCCGGTCCGTGTGGGCCAGGTAGCTCGCACCTTTCTTATCGGCCACCCGCTGCGCCGCCACCCGCTTGAAGTTCATGGCCAGGCGCTTGGTGACCATGAGGCTGCGGAGGTTGACTGGTGAGGGCGGCGCGGGCTCTTGCGAGGTCTTCCCCGCTCCGGATACCCCCGCGATGGTCATGTGTATCTCCCCCCTGTCTATCTCCTGTTGCTGGTACAGCTGACGACTGTCCACCTTCGCCGCCTCATCTTTAACAGTGCCGAAACTACTGCTGGTGTCTCGGCGGCCCACGGAGGCCAGCGACGGCTGTCGGCGGGTCAACTGCTTCGCCTTGCCCGAGCTGGCACCGCCGCCGCCTCCGCCGACCAAGTCGTTCCGACTTGCCCTCTTCGCTAAACTTGCCTTGCTCATTTTCTGCTCATTCGCAAAATCCGCTCGTAACTAACACATCAATCCGGAAAGAGCCACTAGCACAATTTGAAAACAGTCATCAGTTACAGGTAGATATGTTTACCTCCAAGTGGCACAGTGTTGCAGCTAACGAACCATGGAACGAGCCATGTAGTCAGTCGGCACAGTTCTGTTTCACACGCCGCGCTGGCCTCACTAGTGTTGTGCAATCGTGTCACCCACCTGTGAAGGTATCCAACAACAGCCCACTAGAAAAGACAATATTTTCTTTACTCTCCTCTGCTTGACACGTTGCTCACGTCCGCCCTAGGGTTAGGGAAGTCTACACATGTAGCCCTGAACACAAGAACCACACAGATAAGCTAAAAGCATATTTATGTGCCATGCCACACAAACAATACGGAGCGCGAGTACAGCGCAAAAGAATTCCAACAGCCAATGGCGAGAAAGGTTTGAAAACATGGCTATGAATATTCATGAGCACCAAAGAGGCCTTGTTTGGCCACTCACGGGGCTCCTAACATAAAGCGTGGAGGATTAGGTGGGACCAAACTAAAATAGAGCGATCAGCAGCCATGGAAACCAAGAGCCGAGAACAAGCTTGAGTTTCGAAATCACTATATCTGTATTTGTCTGTATAGGTGTGACAATAAACGTGTTAGAGAAATCAAAATGGTACTTTTAAAACTCCTGAAAGTGACGTTGTTATGTCGGTGGAAATGTGCCCGCTCACGTGTGTGCTCTTTGGCACAACAAGAGTAAAACCCAGCCCTCAGGACGTGTCGTGCATATAGACGGTGGGGTCGTGTACGGTAGGGCGTTCGGCTCACACCCAAGAGGTCTCGGGTTCGAATCCTGGCCATGTCACCGATCTTGTGCCCTTGGGAAAGGCACTTTACACGACTTTCCTCACTTCATTCAGGTGGAAATGAGTACTTAGCTTCGGTTAGGGACGTCCCTAGGATAGGACGTTAAATGGAGGTCCCGTGTTTGGGGAGAGCCACCACACTTATCGAAAAGAGTAGAGGACCTTCCCGGTGTGAGTGGTTCAAACCTTACAGTCAGGTCTTACGCAGCTTGTACATGTACGTACATGTACAAAACTGGTGTGTTACGCCTAAAGGCGGTTTACCGGTTGCGAAACAAACAAGACGCGTTTAGAATAAGCCTGATACAATTTTAATACTGAGTCCGTGTGATGTAGGTTCAAGACTGGTGCGTGGTCTGTTTCATGTCTTTTTTCTGGCGTGTCTAAAACTTTTCTTTGGGTCCCTTCCTTTCGTCCTTTCTTCCTCCCGTCTCTTTCTTCTCTTTATCATTTTTTCGTACCATTATACTTTTATCACAAACATATGTTGTTGGAATTTTCATCATTCAAAAAAGTAAATACTTGTCGACGAGGGCCTAGAATATTTGTAACATCCATTCTAAAGCATTGCCCACCGGAAGTCATAAATAAGCCGAGAACGTAATTTTATTACCGTACACAAAATAGATTTATAGTCAAGACAGTTCCTTGTTGAACCTTCTTGTTATCACAACAGTTACGCCAATAGCTACTTAGCGTACCTTACCGATACCACCGGGCGGTTAGTGTTTAGACGGGATTCGCTCACACAATACAGGTAACCTGACTCGGGCCAATCTCTTAATCAACAAGGGAAAATGCTTCTGAAGTCTTTAGGCCACACTGTGTTGATTTTTTGGATGGCATCCCCCAAACTAGTGCGCGCGGGCGAATAAAAAATCCCCCCCCCCTCCAAAAAAATGCTGCTAAGCCAGGAGCATACAAAGCTTGTATTGTGAATTTGTCTCTTAATCAACAAGGGAATGGCTTCTGAATTCTTTAGGCCACACTGTGTTAATTTTGTGGATGACATCCACCAAACTAGTGCGCGCGGACGAATAAAAAAATCCAGCCAAAAAAAAAATAGCTGCTAAACCACAGGAATACTAAGCTGGTATTGTGAATTTGCGGTTGTGCATAGGGACTTTTACGACAAGCCGACACATGCTGGCCTTTTGCAGCATTTATGAGTCGGCACTGTACTGAGTTCTTGAGTTCCGTGGAGCTTCGGCAGCCGGGGGGCCGTCCTCCGTAGTTACCGCCGGCTCCATACTGTCGCTAGCTACCATGGACTACGGAGGATGGCACCCAAGCCAGAGCCTTGTTTTTTAGACCACCCGAAAATTACTGCGCTTGTTGGGGATGTCATCCAGAAAATTAAATCAGTGTGGCCTTACAGGCAGCTAACTCCAGGCTTTCTAGTTGATACGGTTTTGCTGTTTCATTCACCAGCATGGCAGAAACAAAAACATTTACCCAAGACAAGACTGATTAGATTATGATGTAGAAGCGACCTTTTCTTATCTTTCGCAGAGTGGCTAATACAAATAGACCAAACACGTTCTATGTGTTTTACTGTGAAAAGATATCGTTTCAAAACATTTCAATTATATTTCCTTTGCTATATAGTGTATTACCACTAACTTGCTAAGGCCACAGCAAGTAGTTTTTATGGATGACATCAGCACGCGCATTAATTTTCGCCTGATATTGGAAAAAAACAAGAAATTTTGTTGCCTTCTGACAGTGGTCAACATGCCGAAAATGGGCAAAGATGTCTGTTGCCATGCCGGAAGGTGGAAGGCAAATAACTATAAAGAGATGAGACAAGAAAAGGCTTTTATTTAATGTTTTGTTTCTTACTTTGATGCAGTGATACATGTATGTGATGCTGGCTGTGTATATGTGATATACCCACTGAATATCAAAACCCGTTTGTACAATAATTGAGTCAAAATTTTAAAATGCACATATGTAGGAACCTTTTTTTTTTTGGCCCGCCTTATTTTTTTTTTCGCCCGCTCGCATTAGATTTGGAGTCTTCGGAGGATGTCATCCATAAAATTTACTTGCTGTGGCCTAAGCTGGACTAGTGAGTAACCATACCTTTGTGATTAACCTCTAACTTTATCACGTTGGTGCGAAGTAGCCAGATGGTAACAGTAATGAATGGATATGTATATATTGATATAAACAATGTACATAATGCTTCCAAATCAAATGTCTGGTCCACTTCCGAACTGAAATCCACAAAACTAAGGAATGAACAGAATGTAGGTTATTGGTCTGTTAATCAAATTTGTCTGGGTCGTGTTTGGTAATCCATATAGGGACTGATCGTTAAATCCCCCATTCCACTAGTACGGCGCTCTCACCGCGCTCTTACTGCAACCTGCATCCGTGTAAAATACCGACGTCTGCACGTGGGGATCTATCGCATATCCGGGAAAAATCCCTATAAAAACAATTTCGCATCCGTAGAAAATCCCGTTTTTTGCATTCTTTGGGATCCAAACAGGCCAGGTATAGAAAAAAAACCCTAAAGAAACAATCCTTTGGGATCCGGACAGTCCAGGTATACAAAAAAAAAATCCCTAAAGAAACGAATTGGTATCCGTGGAAAATCCCATTTTGGGATATTTAGGGATCCAAACGTTCCGGATCCCTAAGAATACAAATTTCGGATATTTTACGGATCCCACCCGCATCCGTTTGTATCCGCTTGAATCTGCTATAAATGCGTAAATATCCCTGTGCGCATATGGCTGCATCCGAGGCATTTTCGACCAGTGCCCGATATTGGCCGGAGCGTGGAAAGAGCGCCGAGAGAGCGCCAAGGTTTGGAATATAAAGCCCCGGTCACACTGGGCGAACTTTGCTGGAGCGTTCCTTGAACGGTGAATAAAATTCATCACCGCTCGAAACCGCTCACCACCGTTTAACAGAAGTTGGCCCCCGTTAAAGCAACGCCGTGTACGCCCGGCCACCGCTGATGTTTCTGGAGGGGCCCTCCTACCGCTCCGAAAGTTTTGAGCTGCACAAAATATTGCGAGCGGTGAGGAGGGGGCAATTTTCCGCCCCGGCAAAGTTCACCCCCGCTCCACCAACGCCCAGTCAAAATTTGGCATCGCTAGACGCAAGTTCGTGGACTGGCTTGGGTCCGCTAGGCCAACGCAGAAATCTTGAACGCTGGACCACCGCTGCTTCGCCAGCGTTGCCCGGGCGGCGATTAAACGTTGCACAAACTTTGCTGGAGCGGCTGCAAGCGTTTTACGAGCGGACACGAGGTTGCTGGAACGGTGTCGGGCGTTGAAGCAGCGATCCATGTCGGCAATGAACTTTGGTTTGGCGTTGGTATAGAGGTGTCGGAGCGGTGACGAGCGTTGTCGAAATTCGGCCCCCATCCCTACCGTTAAAGGAACGCTCCAGCAAATTTCGCCCAGTGTGACCGGGCCTTAAATTACTGTTGAGGCCGTTGTGCGCTCTCACGGCGCTCTCTGCACTCGCTGTGCGCTCTCACGGCGCTCTCTGCACTCGCTGTGCGCTCTCACGGCGCTCTCTGCACTCGCTGTGCGCTCTCACGGCGTTCCCCTGCCTTCATTGTTGTATCGCCGTCCTCGGCGCTCTCACGGCGACGGTATGAACTGGTTCCGAACAGTCACCGAGGTGACGGCGCTCATCGCGCTCTCATGGCGACCTCGGCGCTCGCTCGACGCTCTGGCCAATTTCAGGTCGCAGAGAAAGCGTAGTGAGAGCTAGCCTCTACCAGACTAACTACGCTGGCTATATAGGAGAATATTAATTTGCCAGGGGAGTTTGGCCGCCTTGTAGGTTTGACTGGCCGCGGATGGAAAGAAACTACCTCCCCGCGACCGGACTCCCTTGGCCAATTTTACTCTCCTTTTGCCGGATTCTGATCTACTATCCGTATTCCCGTAGAAAGACCTGTGGAGGCTACGTGAAAGCACCGTCCTAGTAGAAAAGGAACCTAGGGATGCCTGGCTTGCTAAAAAAATCACTTCCCCACTTCCATAGTCAATCGGCGATGTCAAGTACACGACGACAAAGAAATCCTGTATATTGTATTAAGGCCAAACCCATTACCAAGATCCTTGTCTGACCTTTCCTCGCCCCGTACCCTTGTCGCTAGGCAACACTAGTGCCTCCGCCATGACAAAAGAGCCGGTTTACGTCCTGCAAATGCCACGGTCATACCTCTAATCTGCGTTGCCATGGCAACGGGGAAGCTGCATATTAAGAATGGTGTGTTTGATTGGTTTGATCTGTGTCGCTATGGCGACGGGTAATCAGTTTAAGGAAGTTGTTCTTGCACTAGCCGTGGCGACTCTTGATTCGGGCTTTTGCATTACCCTCTGCAAGAGTCGTGGAAAGATCCATTGGCAGAACTGCACATTTCCCGTTGGCTACTCGATGCTCCGTTTTTGACCCGTTTTTTTGCTGTCCCGAGCTTCCCTACAGTATAAAACCACAATTGGCCGGGTTGCCGATGTTCAGATCGGCCTA